TGGCTGGAGGTAAGGTGTAAGGAGCCATGGTTTGCATGGGTAGCCACTGTCCCCTAACAAGTGGCAATTAGCTGGCACATAGCGTCTCTCAAAAAGCTGTCTGATGCCACTCTCGGAGAGCATTCTCGCATCATGTGTGGAGCCTGGCCATTTAGCCACAATGTCCAAAATCTTCCAGGCCGCATTGAACACTATTTGCACATTGATGCTGTGGAAATTCTTCCTGTTAACAAAGACAGCCTCGTCCTCTGATGGCGCAATTATTCTCACATGTGTTCCATCAATTACACCCACAACGCCAGGGAATCCTGCAATGTCCATAAATGCCCTTTTATGTGTGTGTAAAGTGCGGGCATCCAGCGGGAATGAAACAAATTGTGTCACAATATTAGGTTGTGACAAAGCTGTCAGTGTTTGGGTGATGACTCTGCTGACGGAGGATTGGGACAGACCCAAGTCATCACTGCTGCATTGTTGCATTTTCCCTGTTGCCAAATACCTCAGGGTTGTGATTACTTTCTTCTCCGGTGTAATAGCGTTGTGGCGTCGAGTTGGTGAAGTAATTGCATCTCTAAGGAGATCCACCACAAACATGATTCCTGCACGATCCAATCTGTAGCGTCTCAATAATTCCCTGTCATCCAGTGTTTGCAGGACATCTCTCCTGCCTCCTCTGTTGGCCATTTTGTGCAGCTGCTTAGGGTAACTCCTAAGCCACTAAAAGTCCTCTTCCCTGCTCTTAGCAGATCTCGCCTTAGGAGCCCTTTTAAGCACTAGGACTCTTGAGGAATAGCTTTTATATTAACTGGGATTTTCGTGTCACTTTTAGGGGAAATTCTAAGAAAACGTCATGCCTCTGAGAATTTTCTTAGAATTTGGCCGCTAGGAGCCACTTTTTGCACAAAAATTCTTTAGAGATACGGGCCCAGAAGTACATTCATTTCCAATGACGCAGTCGGTGTGTTCAAAGCGTAATGCCTTGATCACACCAACAGTGCCTTGCGCAAAATGGTATGCAGCATCATCTGGATATGTGTGCAACATTTACCTTCTGCTACGATTTCTGTCAAGTCGTCTATGCATACAGTTTGACTCATACTAAGATAACTCCAACATATGCACCACACAGGACACACTGCAAATGCCTCTGCAAAGCGATCGCAGCGTTCCATTGGAAATGAATGTACTTCTGGTGTACCAAAATGCAATGACACTGTCGGTGTGATCAAGGCATTACTTTGAAGCAGTGTGCCGATCCGTGTATCACTTTATCAGAAGTATGTCATCAATGACGTCCGAAGCTTCGTTTGATCACATGCTTTTTCAAACCGTGTTTTGCTAAATTCAAGATCCCACTGATTGGTTCAGGCGCTTTCTTAGATTCCAAGTTGCTTTCAAACACTTACAAATATACTTAGGATTTTGTACAAAAAGGTAGCGTAGGGAACTATGGAAATTCAGGGGGATGTGATGGTATGAGGTCGGATCCCGTTGAAGGCAAACTATTTTGAAAATTGTTCTGTCTTAAGCATCCTAAATAATGCCATAGATTACATTTTTGAAAAATAGTAAACTTGAAGGCAAAAAAGGGAAGCATGATGCGAACCTGGTTGGTATTGCAACTGATTATAGGCTACTAAAGACAACTTACCACTGCGCCACGGAGTTTTGATTAAAACAGTGCAGAAAAGAAATCACACTGCCATTTATTGCTGACCAGCAGATGTCACTAATGTGCATTGTGGACAGAAAGCCTCAGTTTCCCATCACTACTGTAAACCATGAGTTTCAGATCACTGTTTTAGGGTAAAACTACGCCTTCAAAATAAGGCCATATGAAATACGTGTTGTATTGTGTTAAATAATTTAACTTTCATGATAACATATTTGCTTAGGATCTCACTTGGTGAAGGCCACAGGACTGAAAATGGATGAATGCAACAACCATGTCTCTGCCACTAACAAATACAGTCATGGGCGATAACTACACTTCACTCAAAAGGCAAGGCACTCTGGGAGATATGCAAATAAGGCTTTACACTAAGCAGTGTGTTAATTTAACACTGAAAAGTGTGAACCTATATGGAAACTGGACCAGTGTTAAATGTAACACTGTCAGTGTTGATTTAATACTGGCAAATTTGCTGTGTACTTTCAAGTTCTAAGAACCTGATCCCTGGTTTGTGATGGTGGTAGATAATATACAGAACAATACACAGACGAACACACAGGATTAATCAGAAAACTTCTATACTATCTATTGCATCTTAGCTATGCCGCTCTGACAATGACATTGCTCATCCATATATTTATATATTCTTATTCCATTCCTTTACTTAGATTTGTGTGTATTAGGTATTTGTTGTGGAACTGTTAGATATTACTTGCTAGATATTGCTGCACTGCCGGATCTAGAAGCACAAGCATTTCTCTACACTCGCAATAACATCTGCTAAACATGTGTATGTGACCAATACATTTGATTTCAAAACATTTAATTATTAACTTATATGACATTGTTGTTACAGAGTATAGCTTAAAAATGTATAAGAGGCCTCCTACTTTGAGGTACTGCAACATGTAAACTAGGCTTCAGCTTATCAGACGGTCGACGGAAGAGATTCTAGAAGTTAAACAAGCATAAATTATATGCTTTAAGGAAAAGGCAAAAAAACTGAATAGATACATTCACACAATTTAACAATAAATACAATTTGAAACAGCGCCAGTACACAAGAACCCCAATACATGTAGAAACAGCACCAGTTCACAAGAACTTTAGGGGTGATTATTCCCTGAAGCTACATCGAAGACATTCCCAAACTTTTTGTGTTTACAGTTTGAAACATTATTGTAAAACGGCACAAAGTGGAGGTATTCTGCATTGTACAAATATAAATGACCTCAAAGCAGGCACCTCATGAGACCAATAAATATATTCTATACACTGTATTCATTGAAGGCATTATATGGTAACAGTTATTTCACTGATCCAAAGACGAGCGGTAAGACAAACAGTATACTAATCCATATAATTAAATTATGTATTATAACTATGTACTACTAAACAACATGAGACATATTCAGGAGGTGAAATACCCATCAGTGCTTAGGACTTCACTGCACAGTTGACAGGAGAAAGCACTGACCGTTCTATTTCATTTGCCATCCATGTGGAAGCATTAGTCTGGTAAAAAAAAGTCTGCCCTTTTAAAATATAGTTGGTGTGTCTCCGTATATTGCTACAAAATATCATTCCCTGCCACACACAGTGTTCTCACATCATCATCTCTACCTTTGAATTCCCATAGAAAAAAATTCACTGTCGACACACTTGTTAGTGTTAATCAGCATTATGGAGATTTTTGATTTCTTGTCCAGAATACAGACACTTCTACTGATACTGTAGTTTGTAATAAAACATATTCATTACAAAATGACAAAGGATCCCCCAAAGGATCCCCCAAGCACGTTGTAATAATCTAAGATTTCTCAAAAAGACAAGAAACACCTTGGTACCAAATAGGCAGTTTGCTTGTTAGCTTAGGGAGGCATTTAAGAAAGGTAGCCTATAAACATGTAAACAGTCCCATACATGCTTTCATATGTAAATACATACAGTGAGGGATAAAGTATTTGATCCCCTGCTGATTTTGTACGTTTGCCCACTGACAAAGAAATGATCAGTCTATAATTTTAATGGTAGGTTTATTTGAACACTGAGGGACAGAATAACAACAACAAAATCCAGAAAACACATGTCAAAAATGTTATAAATTGATTTGCATTTTAATGAGGGAAATAAGTATTTAACCCCCTCTCAATCAGAAAGATTTCTGGCTCCCAGGTGTCTTTTATACAGGTAACAAGCTGAGATTAGGAGCACACTCTTAAAGGGAGTGCTCCAAATCTCAGCTTGTTACCTGTATAAAAGACACCTGTCCACAGAAGCAATCAATCAATCAGATTACAAACTCTCCACCATGGCCAAGACCAAAGAGCTCTCCAAGGATGTCAGGGACAAGATTGTAGACCTACACAAGGCTGGAATGGGCTACAAGACCATCGCCAAGCAGCTTGGTGAGAAAGTGACAACAGTTGGTGCGATTATTCGCAAATGGAAGAAACACAAAAGAACTGTCAATCTCCCTCGACCTGGGGCTCCATGCAAGATCTCACCTCGTGGAGTTGCAATGATCATGAGAACGGTGAGGAATCAGCCCAGAATTACACGGGAGGATCTTGTCAATGATCTCAAGGCAGCTGGGACCATAGTCACCAAGAAAACAATTGGTAACACACTACGCCATGAAGGACTGAAATCCTGCAGCGCCCGCAAGGAGCCCCCTGCTCAAGAAAGCACATATACAGGCCCGTCAAATAAAACCTACCATTAAAATTATAGACTGATCATGTCTTTGTCAGTGGGCAAATGTACAAAATCAGCAGGGGATCAACTACTTTTTTCCCCTCACTGTACACATCCTGAAAAAGTCACAAGAAATGTCAGATTTTGAGATTTGCTTTTGAGATATTTCTTCACAGTTTTCAAAATTCCACAAAAAAGGCACTTTATATTTCTTTCACAATTATTTATGAGTATATACTGTATATCACAAATTGAGTTATACGCTGAACAAAAACATGAACACAAAATGCTGGCAACAGCTCTGGTGGACATTCCTGCAGTCAGCATGCCAATTGCACGCTCCCTCAAAACTTGAGACATCTGTAGCATTGTGTTGTGTGACAAAACTGAACATTTTAGAGTGGCCTTTTATTGTACCCAGCACAAAGTGCACCTGTGTAATGATCATGCTGTTTAATCAGCTTCTTGATATGCCACACCTGTCAGTTGGATGGATTATCTCGGCAAATGAGAAATGCTCACTAATAGGGATGTAAACAATATGTGCACAAAATTTGAGAGAAATAAGTGTTGTGTGTATGGAATATTTCTGGGATCTTTTATTTCAGCTCATGAAACCAACACTTTACCTGTTGCATTTATATTTTTGTTCAGCATATATTCCTTTATAGACAGTGACCGAGTCCAGGCTTATATCCATGAGAATCTGAACAATGTCCAGATACTGGACTCATTAAATGCCTGTTGAAAAACAGTGGCATGTGTAGGGTTGCAAAGAGATAGAATATTCCCGGTAACTTTCTAAATGTACCAGAAAGCATCCCAAATTGTGCAATCCTAGGCATGTGAACCCTTGACCAGTGTGATTATGAAAAGACTTACGAAGACATCCTACAAAACAATTAATGCATGAGAAAGTCCGACAAGTAGATTTCCGATGGATCCGCCCCTTATCAGAAGTCATATTCAGCCGCACACTGCGCGAGATACTCCTCATATAGTTTTCCCTGTTGAAATAAGTTGAGAATGGTATACAGATGACATGTACGTAGCACATTTCATGCCTCAGAAATATATCTAATAGATACACCTGAATACACAGCTTCTTCAACCGAATTGCAGAATGATAATTATTGCAATGAAATCTCACCTTCTTGGCTTTGACGACATCCTGGACGTAATCACTGTACTCTGTGAGGGTTCTCTTCTCCTTCTTCGTCAGAGTCCTATTCCCTTGGCTGAGGACACAATCACATGACAACGGCTGTCAATCAAAGTGGGAAACGTATTCCATGAGTGGGGAAAAAACGGCGTAAGTGATGGATTTCTGTGTGTTTTTTTGTGCGTGACGGATTCTGCTTACCGGGCAAAATACTTGGCGAGACATAAGAAAAAGTAGCAGAGTGCACCAAATATGATCACAAACAATATCTGGCCATCTTCTGGTATCCAATCCCACAGAAAGACCACTACACCCTGTTGAGACGAGCATAGCAGCAGTATTTAGAACAGTATTTTGTCCAGTATTTTGAGGCAAAGGAAAATTATTCTGATTCCGAGTCTGGGTTAGTCATGCTCATGACAAGTCTTAAAATGCATTAGAACAGCATCGTAATGCATCTACAGGAGTGCCTAGGGAGGAGGGGCTAGGGGGCGATTTGGAATTCAGGGTATGAATGTTACAGTCAGGGGTTAGGAGTCAGAGGTTACCTACCGTGGAGAGCCAAAGGGCTTTGGCCAGCCCTTCTCCCAGCAGCTCCTGCAACTCCTCTGGGGAGAGGGTGTTGACGATAAAGCTGAGAATGGAAAGGCACGGCAAGAGGATGCCCAGCGCCCCACACAGGAAGGAGTGCAGACGGACACTGCTGTTGAAACTCAAGTCCGCCCTGCAGGAACACAGACAGAGGCCAAGGGGTTAATGGAGCTTTGTGGCATGTAAAGGCAATAAGAGAGGAATAGCCTGGTCTCCTATTTTTGGGGTTCAGTGCCTTGCTCAAGGGCACAACAGTAGCGTGACACCAGCAACTCTCCAGTGGCCAGTTCAGGCCCAACCTTTTGGTTACTGGTCCACCTCTCAAACCACTAGGCTACCTATCGTTTCCTGCTCTTACCTGTCCTGGGCCAATTTGCTGTCGATTGTGGAGGAGATGAGGTCACAGTCCTTCTCCAGCTGGTCCAGTGTCTTCTGGACGGCCTGGTTGATGGTCTTCTCTATTGTCTGACAAACTCCGTCGATCTGGTTCACACACCGGCTCAGCTGGACAACAGGACAGAGGAATAAGCAGCTAACCTCGGTCACACAACATCATCATCCATAAAGTACACTTATTGCATTTGGGATTTTGAGTTTCAATTGACAGTGGTTATGACACTCTATGAAAGTTGAGTGTATTGGCCAGACTTTGTTGGAATAGTGATTTGGCAGTAATATAGAGGCATTTTGATCATGGTCCAAACACACCAAGACAGTCGTGAAGAGGGCACGACCTCGCCTATTGCCCCTCAGGAAACAAAAGATTTGGCATGTGTCCCCAGATCCTCAAAAAGTTCTACAGCTGCACCATCAAGAGCATCCTGAATGGTTGCATCACCGCCTGGTATGGCAACTGCTCGGCCTCTCGGACACATTAGGTCTCAGTGGTGTAAAGTATTTAGAGTTGAAGTCAGAAGTTTACATACACCTTAGCCAAATACATTTAAACTCAGTTTTTCACAATTCCTGACATTTAATCCTAGTAAAGATTCCCTGTCTTAGGTCAGCTAGGATCACCACTTTATTTTAAGTGTGAAATGTCAGAATAATAGTAGAGAGAATTATTTATTTCAACTTTTATTTCTTTCATCACATTCCCAGTGGGTCAGAAGTTTATATACACTCAATTAGTATTTGGTATCATTGCCTTTAAATTGTTTAACTTGGGTCAAACGTTTCGGGTAGCCTTCCACAAGCTTCCCACAATAAATTGGGTGAATTTTGGCCCATTCCTCCTGACAGAGCTGGTGTAACTGAGTCAGGTTTGTAGGCTTCCTTGCTCGCACACGCCTTTTCAGTTCTGCCCACAAATGTGACTCTGATTGAGGTCAGGGCTTTGTGATGGCCACTCCAATACCTTGACTTTGTTGTCCTTAAGCCATTTTGCCACAACTTTTGAAGTATGCTTGGGGTCATTGTCCATTTTGAAGACCCATTTGCGACCAAGCTTTAACTTCCTGACTGATGTCTTGAGATGTTGCTTCAATATATCCACATAATTTTCCTTCCTCATGATGCCATCTATTTTTTGAAGTGCACCAGTCCTGCCTGCAGTAAAGCACCCCAACAGCATGATGCTGCCACCCCAGTGCTTCACGGTTGGGATGGTGTTCTTCGGCTTGCAAGCAACACCCTTTTTCCTCCAAACATAACGATGGTCATTATGGCCAAACGGTTCTATTTTTGTTTCATCAGACCAGATGACATTTCTCCAAAAAGTACGATCTTTGTCCCAATGTGCAGTTGCAAACTGTAATCTGGCTTTTTTATGGTGGTTTTGGAGCAGTGGCTTCTTCCTTGCTGAGCGGCCTTTCAGGTTATGTCGATATAGGACTCGTTTTACTGTGGATATAGATACTTTTGTACCTGTTTCCTCCAGCATCTTCACAAAGTCCTTTGCTGTTGTTCTGGGATTGATTTGCACTTTTCGCACCAAAGTACGTTCATCTCTAGGAGACAGAACGCGTCTCCTTCCTGAGCGGTATGACGGCTGCGTGGTCCCATGGTGTTTATACTTGCGTACTATTGTTTGTACAGATGAACGTGGTACATTCAGGCGTTTGGAAATTGCTCCCAAGAATGAACCAGACTTGTGGAGGTCTACAATTTATTTTCTGAGGTCTTGGCTGATTTATTTTAATTTTCCCATGATGTCAAGCAAAGAGGCACTGAGTTTGAAGGTAGGCCTTGAAATACATCCACAGGTACACCTCCAAATGACTCAAATTATGTCAATTAGCCTATCAGAAGCTTCTAAAGCCATGACATCATTTTCAGTTTAAAGGCACAGTCAACTTAGTGTATGTAAACTTCTGACCCACTGGAATTGTGATACAGTGAAATAATCTGTCTGTAAACAATTGTTGGAAAAATTACTTGTGTCATCCACAAAGTAGATGTCCTAACCGACTATCCAAAACTATAGTTTGTTAACAGGAAATTTGTGGAGTGGTTTTAATGACTCCAGTGTATGTAAACTTCCGACTTCAACTATATATATATATATATATATATATATATATATATATATATATATATATATATATATATATATATATATATATATATATATATATATATATATATATACACACACACATACATACATACATACATACATATATACACACACATATATATACACATATACATATACATACATATACATACATATATATATATACATACACACACACACTGCTCAAAAAAATTAAGGGAACACTAAAATAACACATCCTAGATCTGAATGAATGAAATAATCTTATTAAATACTTTTTTCTTTACATAGTTGAATGTGCTGACAACAAAATCACACAAAAATTATCAATGGAAATCAAATTTATCAACCCATGGAGGTCTGGATTTGGAGTCACCCTCAAATTTAAAGTGGAAAACCACACTACAGGCTGATCCAACTTTGATGTAATGTCCTTAAAACAAGTCAAAATGAGGCTCAGTAGGCATGCTCTGGGCATGCTCCTGATGAGGTGGCGGATGGTCTCCTGAGGGATCTCCTCCCAGACCTGGACTAAAGCATCCGCCAACTCCTGGACAGTCTGTGGTGCAACGTGGCGTTGGTGGATGGAGCGAGACATGATGTCCCAGATGTGCTCAATTGGATTCAGGTCTGGGGAACGGGCGGGCCAGTCCATTGCATCAATGCCTTCCTCTTGCAGGAACTGCTGACACACTCCAGCCACATGAGGTCTAGCATTGTCTTGCATTAGGAGGAACCCAGGGCCAACCGCACTAGCATATGGTCTCACAAGGGGTCTGAGAATCTCATCTCGGTACCTAATGGCAGTCAGGCTACCTCTGGCGAGCACATGGAGGGCTGTGTGGCCCCCCAAAGAAATGCCACCCCACACCATGACTAACCCACCGCCAAACCGGTCATGCTGGTGGATGTTGCAGGCAGCAGAACGTTCTCCACGGCGTCTCCAGACTCTGTCACGTCTGTCACGTGCTCAGTGTGAACCTGCTTTCATCTGTGAAGAGCACAGGGCGCCAGTGGTGAATTTGCCAATCTTGGTGTTCTCTGGCAAATGCCAAACGTCCTGCACGGTGTTGGGCTGTAAGCACAACCCCCACCTGTGGACGTCGGGCCCTCATACCACCCTCATGGAGTCTGTTTCTGACCGTTTGAGCAGACACATGCACATTTGTGGCCTGCTGGAGGTCATTTTGCAGGGCTCTGGCAGTGCTCCTCCTGCTCCTCCTTGCACAAAGGTGGAGGTAGCAGTCCTGCTGCTGGGTTGTTGCCCTCCTACGGCCTCCTCCACGTCTCCTGATGTACTGGCCTGTCTCCTGGTAGCGCCTCCATGCTCTGGACACTACGCTGACAGACACAGCAAACCTTCTTGCCACAGCTCGCATTGATGTGCCATCCTGGATGAGCTGCACTACCTGAGCCACTTGTGTGGGTTGTAGACTCCATCTCATGCTACCACTAGAGTGAAAGCACCGCCAGCATTCAAAAGTGACCAAAACATCAGCCAGGAAGCATTGGAACTGAGAAGTGGTCTGTGGTCACCACCTGCAAAACCAGTCCTTTATTGGGGGTGTCTTGCAAATTGCCTATAATTTCCACCTGTTGTCTATTCCATTTGCACAACAGCATGTGAAATGTATTGTCAATCAGTGTTGCTTCCTAAGTGGACAGTTTGATTTCACAGAAGTGTGATTGACTTGGAGTTACATTGTGTTGTTTAAGTGTTCCCTTTATTTTTTTGAGCAGTGTATATATAAACACTCAGCAAAAAAAGAAACGTCCCTTTTTCAGGACCCTGTCTTTCAAAGATAATTTGTAAAAATCAAAATATCTTCATTATAAGGGGTTTAAACACTGTTTCCCATGCTTGTTCAATTAACCATACACAATTAATGAACATGCACCTGTGGAACGGTCGTTAAGACACTAACAGCTTACAGACGGTAGGCAATTAAGGTCACAGTTATGAAAACTTAAGACACTAAAGAGGCCTTTCTACTGACTCTGAAAAACACCAAAAGAAAGATGCCCAGGGTCCCTGCTCATCTGCGTGAACGTGCCTTAGGCATGCTGCAAGGAGGCATGAGGACTGCAGATGTGGCCAGGGCAATAAATTGCAATGTCCGTACTGTGAGACGACTAAGACAGCGCTACAGAGAGACAGGACGGACAGCTGACTGTCCTCGCAGTGGCAGACCACGTGTCACAACAACTGCACAGGATCGGTACATCCGAACATCACACCTGCGGGACAGGTACAGGATGGCAACAACAACTGCCCGAGTTACACCAGGAACACACAATCCCTCCATCAGTGCTCAGACTGTCCGCAATAGGCTGAGAGGGGCTGGACTGAAGGCTTGTAGGCCTGTTGTAAGGCAGGTCCTCACCAGACATCACCGGCAACAACGTCGCCTATGGGCACAAAACCCACCATCGCTGGACCAGACAGGACTGGCAAAAAGTGCTCTTCACTGACGATTTTGTCTCACCAGGGGTGATGGACGGATTCGCGTTGATCGTCGAAGGAATGAGCGTTACATCGAGGCCTGTACTCTGAAGCGGATCGATTTGGAGGTGGAGGGTCCGTCACGGTCTGGGGCGGTGTGTCACAGCATCATCGGACTGAGCTTGTTGTCATTGCAGGCAATCTCAACGCTGTGCGTTACAGGGAAGACATCCTCCTCCCTCATGTGGTACCCTTCCCGCAGGCTCATCCTGACATGACCCTCCAGCATGACAATGCCACCAGCCATACTGCTCGTTCTGTGCGTGATTTCCTGCAAGACAGGAATGTCAGTGTTCTGCCATGGCCAGCGAAGAGCCCGGATCTCAATCCCATTGAGCACGTCTGGGACCTGTTGGATCGGAGGGTGAGGGCTAGGGCCATTCCCCCCAGAAATGTCTGGGAACTTGCAGGTGCCTTGGTGGAAGAGTGGGGTAACATCTCACAGCAAGAACTGGCAAATCTGGTGCAGTCCATGAGGAGGAGATGCATTGCAGTCCTTAATGCAGCTGGTGGCCACTCCAGATACTGACTGTTACTTTTGACCCCCCCTTTCTTCAGGCACACATTATTCCATTTCTGTTAGTCACATGTCTGTGGAACTTGTTCAGTTTATGTCTCAGTTGTTGAATCTTGTTATGTTCATACAAATGTTTACACATGTTAAGTTTGCTGAAAATAAACGCAGTTGACAGTGAGGACATTTCTTTTTTTGCTGAGTTTATATACACATACAGTACCAGTCATAAGTTTGGACACACCTACTCATTCAAGTGTTTTTCTTTATTTTTACTATTTTCTATATTGTAGAATAATAGTGAAGACATCAAAACTATGAAATAACACATATGGAATCATGTAGTAAACCAAAAAGTGTTAAACAAATCAAAATATATTTTATATTTGAGATTCTTCAAAGTAGCCACCCTTTGCCTTGATGACAGCTTTGCACACTCTTGGCATTCTCTCAACCAACTTCATGGAGGTAGTCACCTGGAATGCATTTCAATTAACAGGTGTGCCTTGTTAAAAGTAAATTTGTGGAATTTCTTTCCTTCTTAATGCGTTTCAACCAATCAGTTGTGTTGTGACAAGGTGGGGTGGTATACAGAAGATAGCCCTATTTGGTAAGATACCAAGTCCATATTATGGCAAGAACAGCTCAAATAAGCAAAGCGAAACAACAGCCCACCATTACTTTAAGACATGATGGACAGTCAAAACTGAAATTTTCAAGAACTTTGAACGTTTCTTCAAGTGCAGTTGCAAAAACCATCAAGCGCTATGATGAAACTGGCTCTCATGAGGACCACCACAGGAAAGGAAGACCCAGAGTTACCTCTGCTGCAGAGGACAAGTTAATTAGAGTTACCAGCCTCATAAATTGCAGGCCAAATAAATGCTTCACAGAGTTCAAGTAACAGACACATCTCAACATCAACTGTTCAGAGGAGACTGCGTGAATCAGGCCTTCATGGTCGAATTGCTACAAAGAAACCACTACTAAAGTACACCAATAAGAAGAAGAGACCTGCTTGTGCCAAGAAACACGACCAAATGTGAGATTTTTGGTTCCAACTGCCGTGTCTTTGTGATGAGACGCAGAGTAGGTGAACGGATGATCTCCGCATGTGTGGGTCCCACCGTGAAGCATGGAGGAGGAGGTGTGGAGGTGCTTTGCTGGTGAAACTGTCAGTGATTTATTTAGAATTCAAGGCACACTTAACCAGCATGGCTACCACAGCATTCTGCAGCGATACGCCATCCCATCTAGTTTGCGCTTAGTGGGACTATCATTTGTTTTTCAACAGGACAATGACCCAACACACCTCCAGGCTGTGTATGGGTTATTTAACCAAGAAGGAGTGCCATGGAGTGCTGCATCAGATGACCTGGCCTCCATAATCACCCGACTTCAACCCAATTGAGATGGTTTGGGATGAGTTGGACCGCAGAGTGAAGGAAAAGCAACCAGGGGGGGGACTAGGGGTTGTAAACCCCCGGGCCTGATCAGCTACCTTTAGCAGCCTCAGGCCTGAGTAAAAAAACGTTTTAAAAGGAGCTTAGACCACTGACTCCGGCACGCCTTGTGTACTTTCTGGTATAGTGGGGCCTCCCTCTCTCAGCGGAAATTAATTGGTGCAGGACGAATGTATAAATCCACCAACCATCCATCGCACAGCCTCACAACCATTGATCACCGGATGAGGGAGCGATCACTCAGGCCTGAGGCTGCTAAAGGTGGCTGATCAGGCCCGGTGGTTTACAACACCTAGTCCCCCTGAGACGGCATATAACTCTCCCAGCTGTCATAATAAAAGTGATTCATCCTGTTCTCAGCGATCCACAGCCATCAGATCTCCTGATTGGGAGTGCCTAAAATCCAGACCTAACCCAACGATGTTCAACAGCTGAAGATCGATTACAGGGAGTAGGCTACACTTGACGGAAATGTTCTGAAACAACTCCATAGCCTCCCTCCAGAGGACAGTGTCATGGGTTTAATATTTTTTTTCTCATTCGTCCACTGTTCACATGGTTTCAAAATATAATTATTTTGCACATAAAAGCCTCATATCTATCCTAAATACCCTATTAATTATAAGTTCAGTAGAGATGTATAAAAATACTACTTGAATGACTGTCACATTAACTGTGAGGCAAGCCAAACAGGGACAGAGGGCGGTACGGTGGGTGGGCCTAAATATCCTGTGAAAAAACCCCAAGACATTTTGTTCTCATTGTACATACACATTGAATTATCAGGAAATGCTTTGAGAATGCTTTTCAACCTATATTTGTGACTTTGTGCAGAGATTTTTAGAATGTTGCCAGCCCTGATTATCTGGACTAGGGTCTTCTATATTGGACGAGGTCTCTGGATAGACTTGTCTAGCCTAAGTCCATGATGTCTTACCTTCTGGGGGTTGGGGATGTATATGGTGGGCATCTCAAAGCCACACTTGTTCAGCCCTGGTCGGCGACACAGTTCCTGAACTATCTGCATCATGACACGCTGTTCATGGGAAAACAACAAATTAAACAGGAAAGGTATTCTAGGTATTCCATGTATGCAATATTCTAAGCTTGGGGAAATAACATGTGCTATAATACATAAGCTGGTTGATTTGAGCCCTGAATGCTGCTTGGCTGACAGCCGTGGTATACAGTGCATTCGGAAAGTATTCAGACCCCTTGACTCTTTCCCTCATCAATCTACATACAATACCCCATAATGACAAAGCAAAAACTGAAATATCCCACTTACATAAGTATTCAGACCCTTTATTCAGCACTTTGTTGAAGCACCTTAGGCAGCGATTACAGCCTCGAGTCTTCTTGGGTATGACGCTACAAGCTTGGCACACCTGTATTTGGGGAGTTTCTCCAATTCTTCTCTGCAGATCCTCTCAAGCTCTGTCAGGTTGGATGGGGAGCTTCACTGCACAGCTATTTTCAGGTCTCTCCAGAGATGATCGATCCGGTTCAAGTCCGAGCTCTGGCTGGGCCACTCGACATTCAGAGACTTGTCCCGAAGCCATTCCTGCATTGTCTTGGCTGTGTGCTTAGGGTCGTTGTCCTGTTGGAAGGTGAACCTTCGCCCCAGTCTGAGGTCCTGAGCGCTCTGGAGCAGGTTTTCATCAAGGATCTCTCTGTACTTTGCTCCGTTCATCTTTCCCTCGATCCTGACTAGTCTCCCAGTCCCTGTCGCTGAAAAACATCTCCACAGCATGATGCTGCCACCACCATGCTTCACCGTAGGGATGGTGCTAGGTTTCCTCCAGACGTGACGCTTGGCATTCAGGCCAAAGAGTTCAATCTTGGTTACATCAGACCAGAAAATCTTGTTTCTCAGAGTCCTTCAGGTGCCTTTTGGCAACTCCAAACGGGCTATCATGTGCCTTTTACTGAGGAGTTGCTTCCGTCTGGCCACTCTACCATAAAGGCCTGATTGGTGGAGTGCTGCAGAGATCGTTGTCCTTCTGGAAGGTTTTCCCATCTCCACAGAGGAACTTTGTCAGAGTGACCATCGTGCTCTTGGTCACCTCCCTGACCAAGGCCCTTCTCCCCCGATTGCTCAGTTTGGCCGGGCGGCCAGCTCTAGGAAGATCTTGGTAGTTCCAAACTTCTTCCATTTAAGAATGATGGAGGCCACTGTGTTCTTGGGGACCTTCAATGCTGCAGAAATGTTCGGTACCCTTCCCCAGATCTGTGTCTCGACATAATCCTGTCTCGGACCTCTACGGACAGTTCCTTCGACCTCATGGCTTGGTTTTTGCTTTGACATGCACTGTCAACTGTGGGAACTTATATAGACAGGTGTGTGCCTTTGCAAATAATGTCCAAACAATTGAATTTACCACAGGTGAACTCCAATCAAGTTGTAGAAACATCTCAAGGATGATCAATGGAAACAGGATGCACCTGAGCTCAATTTCGAGTCTCATAGCAAAGGGTCCGAATCTGTTTTTTATTTTTAATACATTTGCAAACATTTCTACAAACCTGTTTTGGCTTTGTCATTATGGGGTATTGTGTGTAGATTGATGAGGAAACATATTTATTTAATACATTCTAGAATAATGCTGTAACGTAACAAAAGGGAAGGGGTGTGAATACTTTCTGAATGCACTGTATCAGATCGGGTATACAAAACATGTATTTTTACTGTTCCTCAGGGGGTTGAGATATATGGCCAATATACTACGGCTAAGGGCTATGTGCAGGCACTCCGCGTTGTCCAGTCACACCACGTATACCACAGCCCTTAGCCGTGGTATATTGGCCATATACCACACTCCTCTGGCTTTATTGCTTAATTATGATGTGATAATAAAAGTACATGTAATACAATTGTTATACAACACAGCAACTGCCATAATGTGCTTCAAAATCTAATCCATTCTGAACCAACTAGCATAAATGAACACACATTTTTCTCTACAGACATTGATCCAGTCACTGCACGGACAGCAGAGGGATCTAGATGGAGGTTAAATGGACAGTGCATCGTCGAAGAGTAACTGACCTGTCTGTCCGTCTCCCTCCCGGCTTCATCTGCCTTGCTGAGGTAGAAGCGCAGCTTGTCCGCAACCTTATCGCTCAGCTTCTCCACAATGTTGAGCGTGCGCTTGCACAGCGCCTGGCCCATGGGGTCAAAGAACACAAAGACCAGGTCCGCCTGCTCCCCTGGAAAGAGGCACCCCCATGTAGAATGTTTTTATTTAAAAATAAAATTGTCACATGCGCCGAATACAACTGGGTGTAGACTTTACCTTGAAATGCTTGCTTACGAGCCCTTCCCAACAATAGCAACACAAGAGGAATAAAATAAAATACAAAAATGGAGCTCTATACAGAGTACCAGTACCAGATCAATGTGCAGAGGTAGGAGGTATTTGAGGTAGATATGTACATGAAGGCAGAGTAAAGTGACTAGGCATTAGAGTGATACAAAATATATCCTCTTTGTGATATCCCATCCTCCCCCACCCACCAACATACCATAATGATTACACAAGGTGATGCAGTCCTGCCTATGTGACGGGATCAGGGTGTGTGTGTGTGCATGTGTGCGTATACTGTATGTCAAGCCACACCAGCGAAGGGAATGAGTCATACCAAACGACGTGATAGCGCGGTTGACATCAAAGGGATAGACCATGTCCCCATCCACCAGGCCCGGTGTGTCCACGAACGTCACCAGGCTAAACTTCTTCTGCTTGGAGGTGGAGATCTCAGCCGACAGATAGTCCGTAACACCTACAACACAACAAAGTCAGCATGGCCCCAATTTGCTCCTTATCCCTCCCCCTATGCCCTAACCCTTTACCTTTGTCAGATCTGTAAGGTCTGGATAGGTGTAAGCAGTGTAGTGGTGGAGCTTCCACCATATTGCTTCCACATTACAGATCTGCAAACATTGAAGGGGCCAAGAGGAAGAGGTAAGGAGTGAATTGGGACTGGCTGTGTGCATACAGTGCCTTCAGAAAGTATTCACACCCTTTGACTTATTCCACATTTTGTTGTGTTACAGCCTGAATTCAAAATGGATTAAATATTTAAAAATTCTCACCCATCTACACACAATACCCCATAATGACAAACTGATTTTTTTATTTTATTTTTTTATGTTTGCAAATGTATTGAAAATGAAATACATAAATATCTCATTTACATAAGTATTCCCTGAGTCAATACTTTGTGGAAGCACCTTTGGCAGCGATTACAGCTGTGAGTCTTTCTGGGTAAGTCTAAGAGCTTTCCACACCTGGATTGTGCAACATTTGTCCATTAATCTTTAACAAATTCTTCAAGCTCTGTCAAATTGGTTGTTGATCATTGCTAGACAACCAATTTCAGGTCTTGCCATAGATTTTCAAGTAGATTTAAGTCAAAAATGTAACTCGGCCACTCAGGAACATTCACTGTCTTCTTGGTAAGCAACTCCAGTGTAGATTTGGCCTTATGTTTCAGGTTATTGTCCTGTTGAGAGGTGAATTCATCTCCCAGTGTCTGGTCGAAAGCAACCTGGTTCAGTCTTTCCTCTAGGATTTTGCCTGTGCTTATTTCCATTCTGTTTCTTTTTAATCCTGAACTCCCCAGTCCTTAACGATTACAAGCATACCCATAACATGATGCAGCCACCACTATGCTTGAAAATAGTGAGTGGTACTCAGTAATGTGTTGTATTTGCCCCAAACATAACACTTTGTATTCAAGACAAAAAGTTAATTGCTTTGCCATGATGCATGTTTTGGAATATTTATTATTCTGTACAGGCTTCCTTCTTTTCACTCTGTCAATTAGGTTAGTATTGTGGAGTAACTACAAAGTTGTTGATCCATCCTCAGTTTTCTCCTATCACAGCCATTAAACTCTGTAACTGTTTTAAAGTCACCATTGGCCTCCTGGTGAAATCCCTGAGCGGTTTCCATCCTCTCCGGCAACTGAGTTAGGAAGAACGCCTGTATCTTTGTAGTGACTGGATTTATTGATACACCATCCAAATTGTAATTAATAACTATACCATGCTCAAATGGATATTCAATGTCTGCTTTTTATTTTTGACCCATCTACCAATGGTTGGCCTTCTTTACGAGACCTTGGAAAACTTCCCTGGTCTTTGCGGTTGAATCTGTGTTTGAAATTCACTGCTTGACTAAGGGACCTTATAGATAATTATACATGTGGGGTACAGAGATGAGGTAGTCATTCAAAAATCATGTTAAACATTATTATTACACACAGAATGAGTTCATGCAACTTATTATGTGACTTGTTAATCACATTTTTACTCCTAACTTATTTAGGCTTGCCAATAACAAAGGGGTTGAATACTTATTGACTCAAGATTAAACTTTTCATTTGTAATTAATTTGTAAAAATGTTTAAAAACATAATTCCACTTTGACATTATGGGGTATTGTGTGTAGACCAGTGACAAAAAATCTCAATATAATCCATTTTAAATTCAGTCTGTAACACAACAATATGTGGAAAAAGTCAAAGGGTGTGAATACTTTCTGAAGGCACATACAGTAAAGTAAGCTGGACTAAAGTGTGGCCCTTTCTGGAGAACTTGTGGGTGATCAATAAGAAGTGGAGTCCCGCTGAAGGCTGTCAGCACCAGTCTGTTTAATTTGTTGCCCATAAAGCTGCAGTGCGATCAATACTTGGAAAGCTGAGGATGCTGCCCGCGGTGCTAGTCTGCAAGAACTGTCTATTCTAAAAAAAAAATTACTAAACGGTTTTGGATACACCTGCAGTAACAATTAGGATTAACCATTTGTAAACAATTTCAATAACCTTTTGATTGGATCCAGAGCTAGTAGTACACATTGTTTTACAGTGCAGTAGGCTACTTCACTAAAAACCCTCTCCTCAGGCAAAAACAAAACATGCCCTCAGAGATCAACCCTCAATTTGACTCGTAAGGTCTGAATTATGCCTTACAATCCCCATCTGCAGAGAGGCCTGTAGTAAGTGTTACCCACAACAGCTCTTCAACTGGCAGCTTTACAGAAGGGAGTGAGACATAAAGCTAGCCAGTGAAGAACGACTGTGAAGCAACGCACAGTGACATGACACATACACCATGTACTGTAGCTATGACTGACCCTCCCCCAACCCCTTCCCTCAGAATCAGAACAGGATGACTGTTGAGACACATACCCACCTTCCTCCCCCACTTGGGATGACACTGGGGCTTTTTCATTGCGAGAGGCAGGTGTTACCAGCCAGTATAAATCACAGCCTTGTGCTGCTCTTGCTGTTGGTGCACATTCCCAACATTCTCCTACATCAACATGGCTGCTCGGTGCTCGCTCCCCTAATGCGTCAATCTCCCCAGCGGCTCGAGACAAGATGAGATGTCTCCATAGATTTCCACCCACACAGCCCTGTCTCCAATCACAACACAACCAAGACTCAAGGACAAGGTCCCTTTCACGGCAAAACAGAGGGGCATGTCAAACACAGTTAACGAGGTCCAGCGCCCATTACTGCGCTCCAGTTGGGTCCAGTTATAAGACATTAAGCGTGCAGCACAGACTCCTGTGTCCGCTCCTATAGGGGTTAACAGACAGGAGACAACTTGTGCTACTACCGTTGTCAGTATGCAAGAAGAAGAACACCTAAAAATAGCCAATCAGATAGATTAGATACAGACATGCTGCCCCAGTATGGAATAGATTCCTTAATTGCAAGAGGCCCCAATAAGCTTCTTGAAAGGTGAAAAGGTAAAGAGAGTGATATTCTATTCTGGCCCTGTTAGCGCTGAGCTTGCCACCTCAGACAGAGAGGGATAGATATCCAGCATATCCAGTGCACCAGGATAAGGTCAAAGGCTGCAAAAAATGCTGCTTCACTGCAAGAAAATGTGACCCTGAGGGGCAGCACAGGGCAGGGGGCGTTTATATCAAGCGTCTCGAAGTAGGAGTGCCGATTTAGGATCAGTTTTGCCTTTTAGGTCACAATGAATAAGATTATAGGGACAGGGGGCGCTGATCCTTGTTTGATACATATGGCCCAACTGTGTTAAACCCAATCCAGGCAAACTCAAGTACTGTAGTATAGTATACCTAACCAGAGTTGGACCAAACTGACGGCTGTCAAAACGGATAACTTGACTTGACATTTTGATGCTGTACATCAAATTTGAGATCTGAACGTAACCTCTTAACAAGAGATTGATTAAAGACTGCTGTTCCAACACTATGGAAATGATACTAAACGTATTACTTGATTAAACACCTGTTCCTCAGGAGTACACACTTGTTCTGACAAGAGTGTCAAGCAAATAGAGAAATTAGTCTTGAAAGACAAGTATAAACCAGCAAACAAATGGCAATAATCTCACGGAAGACAGATATCAAACAGCGTTTCGATGAGTCATCCTCCGCCGCCTAATAACATCTCAACATGTCTTTGGAGAGCGGCGTTGGCGTCGGTGGTGATGTGAAGATAAATAGCTAGCTGTATCCAGGACAGATCCATGATGATTCTTCAGCGCCGGCGGGCGGCCTGTGGCTCCTCAGTCAGTGGCATTGGCTGCTGCTGGTGCCTTGGCTGCTCCATCTCTAATGGCCGTGACATTTCTCAGCTGCTCCTCCTCCTGACTCCACCGCATTGCCGTCGATGGGGCGTGTGACTTACAGCTCCGTACAGTAGTGTGCACTCTGCACTCTGTGAACCCTCTCTATCTCGCTCTCTCTCTGTACACATCTCACTGTCAATGTGGAGACACACTGAGCCGCACTGCACAGCCCTCCCCTGGGCTGAGACACCTTGGGCACACCCTCCAAAACCGTATCTACATTATTATTAGCAGCTACCTAGTAGCCACCACATTGGAGATCCAACCTACTGCCGCTACTCTATAGTCTGACGGTCCTATGTAATCCCAGTTTCACCTCCATCTTCCAAGATATAAATGACAGTGAAAAGCAACCACACAGAGTCTGCAGCACAGATGAAGTGGTAAACAACCCTGATATATTCAGAGTGCGCATACCAAATGGCACCCTATTCCCTATATAGTGCGTACCAAATGGCACCCTATTCCCTATTTTAGTGCGTACCAAATGGCACCCTATTCCCTATATAGTGCGTACCAAATGGCACCCTATTCCCTATATTGTGCGTACCAAATGGCACCCTATTCCCTATATTGTGCGTACCAAATGGCACCCTATTCCCTATATAGTGCATACCAAATGGCACCCTATTCCCTATAAAGTGCACTACTTCTGACCAGAGCCCAAACGGCTCTGGTCAAATCGTTTACTATATAGGGAACAGGGCTCTCATCGTAGTGTGCACTATTTAGACATCTGAGACGCAACCAGACTTGATGACTCAGAATTGAGCGTTAGTCATCAAGACCAACGACCTATAAGCTCTAGCGCCTATCAGACAGACACACCCTATGGAGGGAACCAAGCAGCAGTAGGTTACACTGGTCATGTTTGAACCAATACTTCAATAAGAAATCAATGCATTCCAAGTAGATTTGATGCAATGTTCTGATACCGTGGACAAAGTCACTTGGGTCAGATTTACAACTTTAAAAAGGTCCAATGTAGCCATTTTCTTCAATTAAAATGGTCAAAAAGAAACAAAAATAGCTTCTTTGCTAAATGCAATTTCTCAAGCAAGAATTTAGCTAGGACTGTCTGGGAGTGGTCTGAGTGAGAGGGGGGCCTAATTGGAGGAGCCTAATGGGAGGGATGTGTAACCTGAAAACTAGCTGTTGTTTGTTATTGGTCTATTAAAAACATATACCGCCTGACAGAGTGAAAAGGAAGCTGACATGTCTTTTCAAACAGCGCTTACACTAAAAGTGCATTATCATAATTTTCACAATTTCATAGTATTATTCCAACCTCAGTGTGGAAAAAAATAATAATAATAAATATATATATATATATATATATTTTTTTTTATATCACAGGAAAATCATATTTTAACTGCACTGTTCCTTTACGCCTTTGCAGCAGTGTAAAGTGTGCATTAATTACAGGGAATTAAAACAGTTTCCTGTGAAATGGTCTGTATTTACAAACAGGTGCAAACACTTTTAGGTGGTTCTGAGGTGCAACAAAATGTGCTTCCCATAAGAATAATGGACAGGAACACACAAATGTGTCATTAAGTTACAGGTGGGCAGACTTTCCTGCCACTGTGAAAATGACAATGGGTGGTTCAAAATAGGAATACAGCATAAAACAGTGAAATAGGCCCAATATAAAGCTGTGGAAGTTAGACGGCAATCAATTTTACTCTGTAATTACTTGCGCAAGAGAAAAACATTAATGGTGCCACAAACAGACTCGTACACTGGAAAGTATTTCCGATGACAGGGGAAACCCTACCTTTAAACTCCAGGAGTGGTCGGAAATGGGGGTAGAGATGGAGCGTGGCATTTCCCTGTGGAAGATAAAAGATGGTGAGAGAGGTGGTAGGAACAGACAGAAAATGTCTAGCTACGTGTGGACTTATTGGGAGCCCAGCCGGTCAAAAAGATGTCTGCCTCCTTGAGTAGCCAGGCGAGGCGATATTCTTGGTCTCAATGCCAGGGGCTTTGCTGCAGCTCGCGCATGGCTTTAAGCCCTTCCTGTATATAGCAGATAATCCTTCCAGTCCTTCACTAGAATTATATTATTCATCTTCATCTCTTTCACCAGGGGAGGGAGAAAGAGAGAAGCTTGTTGCCTAGCCCGAAAATACTGCAGATACGCCTCTCTCTCTCTCTCTCCGCTCTCTCTCCCTGCTCTCCCTCTCTGTGCAGCCCAGCCCCTCTGAGGATGGAGCAGCATGCAGAGTGAGCCATCAGCTGAGGATGGAGCAGCATGCAGAGTGAGCCATCAGATGAGGATGGAGCAGCATGCAGAGTGAGCCATCAGATGAGGATGGAGCAGCATGCAGAGTGAGCCATCAGCTGAGGATGGAGCAGCATGCAGAGTGAGCCATCAGATGAGGATGGAGCAGCATGCAGAGTGAGCCATCAGATGAGGATGGAGCAGCATGCAGAGTGAGCCATCAGCTGAGGATGGAGCAGCATGCAGAGTGAGCCATCAGATGAGGATGGAGCAGCATGCAGAGTGAGCCATCAGATGAGGATGGAGCAGCATGCAGAGTGAGCCATCAGCTGAGGATGGAGCAGCATGCAGAGTGAGCCATCAGCTGAGGATGGAGCAGCATGCAGAGTGAGCCATCAGATGAGGATGGAGCAGCATGCAGAGTGAGCCATCAGCTGAGGATGGAGCAGCATGCAGAGTGAGCCATCAGCTGAGGATGGAGCAGCATGCAGAGTGAGCCATCAGCTGAGGATGGAGCAGCATGCAGAGTGAGCCATCAGCTGAGGATGGAGCAGCATGCAGAGTGAGCCATCAGATGAGGATGGAGCAGCATGCAGAGTGAGCCATCAGCTGAGGATGGAGCAGCATGCAGAGTGAGCCATCAGCTGAGGATGGAGCAGCATGCAGAGTGAGCCATCAGCTGAGGATGGAGCAGCATGCAGAGTGAGCCATCAGCTGAGGATGGAGCAGCATGCAGAGTGAGCCATCAGCTGAGGATGGAGCAGCATGCAGAGTGAGCCATCAGCTGAGGATGGAGCAGCATGCAGAGTGAGCCATCAGCTGAGGATGGAGCAGCATGCAGAGTGAGCCATCAGCTGAGGATGGAGCAGCATGCAGAGTGAGCCATCACCACTGTCAGTACCGTTAGGTTTACCCAGGCATACATGCATCGCTTAAGCCAGCAAGAAAAGTGGCATCTCATCGCATTGTACAACTATATGGAGTTAAAATAATGTCAAAACTAGATTTAATGCGTGCAACATTATCTGTGTGTTACGTGGCACCTGCATGCTTGGTTTTTGAAACTAATCTAACTCATACGAGCGCCATTTCACTGCACTGACATTGTTCAAGTCATAAAATAAAATTTTGTCCGATTTTTTCAGGCCTCAAAAGTAGAGTAATATGTCAAGATACAACCATGTCCCAATGTAATATACAATATATATAATAATATGTCATTTAGCAGAAGCTTTTATCCAAAGCGACTTACATTCATACGTGAATACAGTGCCCTCCGTAATTATTGGGACAATGAAGCATCTTTTCGTCTTTTTGCTCTGTACTCCAGCACTTTGGATTTGAATAGGGCAGACTATCAGCTTTAATTTGAGGGTATTTTCATCCATATCGGGTGAACGGTTTAGAAATTACAGCACTTTTTGTACATAGTCCCCCATTTTAGGGGATCAAAAGTATTGGGACAAATTCACTTATATGTGTATTAAAGTAGTCTAAAGTCTATTTTATATGGAATGTGCCTTAATGTGTTTGGACCCCAGGAAAAGGAGCTGCTGCCTTGGCAACAGCTAATGTGATTCCCTAATAAATACAAATACAAAAGTAAATAAATACAAATGGTAAATAATGTACTGTCATTTTAGAGTCACTTTTATTGTAAATAAGAATATATTTCTAAACACTTCTACATTCATGTGGATGCTACCATGATTACAGATATTCCTGAATGAATCGTGAATAATGATGAGTGAGAAAGATAGACACACAAATATCATACCCCCCAAAAAGGCTAACCTCCCTTTGGTAGAGCTGGTAGAGCACGGCGCTTATAACGCCAAGGTAGTGGGTTCGACCCCCAGGACCACCCATACACAAAAATGTATGCACGCATGACTGTAAGTCGCTTTGGATAAAAGTGTCTGCTAAATGGCATATTATATTATATTATTAATGTAATGGTGAGTGGTTAGCATGTCTTGGGTGTATGATATTTCTGTGTCTAACTTTGACTTGTCATTATTCACAATTCATTCAGGACTATCTGTAATCATGGTAGCATCCACATTAATGTAGAAGTGTTAAGAAACATATTCTATTCTAATTTACAATAAAAGTGACTCCAAATATCACAATACATTATTTACCATTCATTTCTATTGGCCACAAAATTGTCTGAAACACAACCAAAACAAACAGCAAATGCATCCAACAAGTTTGTAGTCAAAAGCTTGGTGTAATCATTGCGTGCTAGGAATTTGGGACCAAATAATACACTTTTGACTACTTTAATACATATACAGTGAGGGAAAAAGTATTTGATCCCCTGCTGATTTTGTACGTTTGCCCACTGACAAAGAAATGATCAGTCTATAATTTTAATGGTAGGTTTATTTGAACAATGAGAGACAGAATAACAACAAAAACATCCAGAAAAACGCATGTCAAAAATGTTATAAATTGATTTGCATTTTAATGAGGTAAATAAGTATTTATAGACTGATCATTTCTTTGTCAGTGGGCACACGTACAAAATCAGCAGGGGATCAAATACTTTTTCCCCTCACTGTAGTGTTTAAGTTAATTTGCCCTAATACCTTTGGTCCCCTAAAACGGGGGGCCTATGTACAAAAAGTGTTTTCCTAAATTCCTAAACAGTTCACCCGGTATGGATGAAAATACCCTCTAATTAATAATAATAATAATATAATAATATGCCATTTAGCAGACGCTTTTATCCAAAGCGACTTACAGTCATGCGTGCATACATTTTTTGTGTATGGGTGGTCCCGGGGATCGAACCCACTACCTTGGCATTACAAGCGCCGTGCTCTACCAGCTGAGCTACAGAGGACCACATTAAAGCTGACTGTCTGCACTTTAACCTCACAGTCATTATATCATTTATAATCGAAAGTGCTGCAGTACAGAGCCAAAACAACCAAACATGTATCACTGTCACAATAATTACAGAGGGCACTGTACATCGACGTGTAGATCCAGCTATATGCCTAAATCCCAAATGAGTGGAAATTATTTGAAAGTGTACATTTAACATTTACATTTACATTTTACATTTTAGTCATTTAGCAGACGCTCTTATCCAGAGCGACTTACAGGAGCAATTAGGGTTAAGTGCCTTGCTTAAGGGCACATCGACAGATTTTTCACCTAGTCGGCTCGGGGATTAGAACCAGCGACGTTTCAGTTACTGGCACAACGCTCTTACCCACTAAGCTACCTGCCGCCCCAACATGACAGCACCAACGCTGTGAAGAAGATTTCCTGAATACAGTGGGGGAAAAAAGTATTTAGTCAGCCACCAATTGTGCAAGTTCTCCCACTTAAAAAGATGAGAGGCCTGTAATTTTCATCATAGGTACACGTCAACTATGACAGACAAATTGAGAAGAAAAAAATCCAGAAAATCACATTGTAGGATTTTTAATGAATTTATTTGCAAATTATGGTGGAAAATAAGTATTTGGTCACTTACAAACAAGCAAGATTTCTGGCTCTCACAGACATGTAACTTATTCTTTAAGAGGCTCCTCTGTCCTCCACTCGTTACCTGTATTAATGGCACCTGTTTGAACTTGTTATCAGTATAAAAGACACCTGTCCACAACCTCAAACAGTCACACTCCAAACTCCACTATGGCCAAGACCAAAGAGCTGTCAAAGGACATCAGAAACAAAATTGTAGACCTGCACCAGGCTGGGAAGACTGAATCTGCAATAGGTAAGCAGCTTGGTTTGAAGAAATCAACTGTGGGAGCAATTATTAGGAAATGGAAGACATACAAGACCACTGATAATCTCCCTCGATCTGGGGCTCCACGCAAGACCTCACCCCGTGGGGTCAAAATGATCACAAGAACTGTGAGCAAAAATCCCAGAACCACACGGGGGGACCTAGTGAATGACCTGCAGAGAGCTGGGACCAAAGTAACAAATCCTACCATCAGTAACACACTACGCCGCCAGGGACTCAAATCCTGCAGTGCCAGACGTGTCCCCCTGCTTCAGCCAGTACATGTCCAGGCCCGTCTGAAGTTTGCTAGAGTGCATTTGGATGATCCAGAAGAGGATTGGGAGAATGTCATATGGTCAGATGAAACCAAAATAGAACTTTTTGGTAAAAACTCAACTCGTCGTGTTTGGAGGACAAAGAATGCTGAGTTGCATCCAAAGAACACCATACCTACTGTGAAGCATGGGGGTGGAAACATCATGCTTTGGGGCTGTTTTTCTGCAAAGGGACCAGGACGACTGATCCGTGTAAAGGAAAGAATGAATGGGGCCATGTATCGTGAGATTTTGAGTGAAAACCTCCTTCCATCAGCAAGGGCATTGAAGATGAAACGTGGCTGGGTCTTTCAGCATGACAATGATCCCAAACACACCGCCCGGGCAACGAAGGAGTGGCTTCGTAAGAAGCCTTTCATGGTCCTGGAGTGGCCTAGCCAGTCTCCAGATCTCAACCCCATAGAAAATCTTTGAGGGAGTTGAAAGTCCGTGTTGCCCAGCGACAGCCCCAAAACATCACTGCTCTAGAGGAGATCTGCATGGAGGAATGGGCCAAAATACCAGCAACAGTGTGTGAAAACCTTGTGAAGACTTACAGAAAACGTTTGACCTGTGTCATTGCCAACAAAGGGTATATAACAAAGTATTGAGAAACTTTTGTTATTGACCAAATACTTATTTTCCACCATAATTTGCAAATAAATTCATTAAAAATCCTACAATGTGATTTTCTGGATTTTTTTTTCTCATTTTGTCTGTCATAGTTGACATGTACCTATGATGGAAATTACAGGCCTCTCTCATCTTTTTAAGTTGGAGAACTTGCACAATTGGTGGCTGACTAAATACTTTTTTTCCCCACTGTATGTACCAGTGGTGACTAACAGGCTGCAGTGATCATAGCTATGGCTATAATGAATGAGATTCATAGAGCCTGCAACAGTAAACCATTGGTAAGCAATTATTAGTATACCACAAGGTTTATTTTTATGCTATTCAATCACCACTGGCTGAACACGAAGTACGTTTTTCATAACATGGTTAAAAGTGCTTTGAGAGACATTCATAGCAGTGATGGTGTGGTGCTATAAACCTACCGTCAGTGATTCTCTTTTCCGACCACTTGTGATAAATGTAAATCCCTGCGTTTCGATGGCAACACCTGTTTTCTGTATATGTTCTTCCACATACCTGAAATGGCAGTAAGTGAAACTGGGTCAACAATTGTGTGAAATGTACTGCACATTGACAAATTCCATCACTGGGAAAATCCCAGAATCAAACTTACTAATTATTATTGATTTCAAATGTATAGGTGACTATGAGATTCATGATATCCTTTAGGATACAGTGATAATAATGAAAATGTTGTGAAACAAAAACAGAATCTTTACATGTTCTTTTTATTCAACAGACTCATACATCTACATTCTTAGGTAATTCATATCCTCACTAAATTGCTTGATACCTTTCTTTCCATTAGGAAATGTCTAGGATAATCACCTGATTGTTAGACCACAATGTCTAGGCTAATACTGTATCTTGTAGCGCCTCCAATCCCTATGTGGACATTCGTCAGCCTCATTTTAACAAACATATTTGCCCCTCCCTCTCTCTCCCCCCCTCTCTCTCTCTCTCCCCCTCTCTCTCTCTCCCTCTCTCCCTCCCCCTCTCTCTCTCTCCCTCTCTCCCTCCCTCTCCCTCTCTCCCTCCTTACGCGGCTCTTGATTGTGGCCTAGCCTGTGCTGGTCCTTAGCAGTTATATTGGGGAGCTATATTACCAATTAATAAATGAGCTTTTTCCAGCAGAGTGGTTCCCCATTATCATCACAATGATCTTCTTCCGTGGAGGAAGGAGCTGGAGACCCAGGTGGCTTGCTATCTTCACCAGCCCTGAACACACACAAACATACACAGATCAGGCGGCTTTCCTTTCTTTTGGACACTACTGTTACAGAATGGGTCAGGCAAGCCGTAATATCAAATGTAATCACATTTTATTTGTCACATGCTTCGTAGACAACAGGTGTAGACTAACAGTGAAATGCTTATTTACGGGTCCTTTTCCAACAATGCAGAGTTAAAGATAAGATAAAGAATAAAAATAGTAACACAAGGAATAAATACACAGTGAATAACTAATAAATAAATATGATACTTTACTATCTCGGAGTTAGGGTCATCCAGTACGCCATACTACCTGTCTTAACAGATAAGTGTTTCCGTCTGCCTCTGACATATCTGATTAAGACACTATACATAGAGAGCCGGCAGACAGGACTCCACTACATGAGAGTGGCATCAGAGGGATTTAAGCAACATTTGTTTTCACTCAAAGTGATCCAATGAACTACAAATAACAAAGTAATCTGTTATAATGGCAGTCTTTATTCGACACCTGCTTTAGGATACCTGACTTGCAGATACAGTCTGGAAACCAAGGCAATTCCACTATAACAGAATTATGTTTTGACTCAGTTTTTTTTTTTATGTATGCCAAACAAAAACCATTGACTTCAAAGTTTAACAAACCATACAACTCTATGTACAAGGACTACTTTTAACAATTTCCACTGAAAATTTTACAAAAACTAATTTAGTGGAAGAACTGTGCAGATGCAAACTTTGGTAACGGAATTACGGTAAAATCTCCCTCAGGTTTTTATGCAACCATGTTTTCTAAAAACTCTTAAATATCTGCTCTCGAATTAAGATTCAAAGATACCTGCAGAAAGAATGGGGTGTCAGTATGACATGGCACCTTGAGTTTGAAGAAATCTCTTATGGTTTTGAACTACAGTAAGTGAAGTGGATTTACACCCGGTAATGGAATTAAGGTAACAGAATTACATCATGGGTCCCTGATCTGTACTACACAGAAATGCATAATTATAGATATGAATGTCATTCTCCTCATGTTTCACATAGGTCTATGATAGTTTCAGATTTGGTTCAGTCCAGTCGGTCTGTGGACGTTAACATCAAGGCCAGGGTGGAATGACCTAATTCTGATTTCCCATTGTAGCCAATTCAGTTGCAGTAATTCCATTACAGATTTTTTGGTAATTCCGTTACCAATTTGGTAAAATAATTACGAATTTTAATCACTTAATAATTCATAAACAAAATTGATATCACTAGGTCTACAATTACTTGTTACTTCTGTGAACTTTCATTATCCTCCCTCCTCATGAGGGAGAGAAATTATAAAATATCTTAACGATATGTGGGTTTGTGGTTACGGAATTACAAGGAAATATTTCTTAAAATATACAAAAGGTAAACAATTTCTCCAAAACTAAATATAAGTGTTGATATTAGTTGGCAGGGGTCTTTAGGTCAACATTATTGTGTTTTGATGTATTTCTGATATGTTTAAGACTTTTTGTAGTAGATGTTTTTAAGACCCCATTTCATCTGTTTATCCAGAAATCACAGCCTTTACTTATGCCACATTTTTAAGATAATTTTTTTTGTTGAAAAACGTATCTATGCCTTCATTTCCCAAAAATATAGACTCTTAGCTTTAATTTGAAACCCAATTTGATACACTCCTATAAACTTCACATATTGGTGGTGCTCATGGGTCCTTTCGAATGGAAATGACCATAAATCAAAAAAGGCCATATTGGCTTCAAGTCTGTGATGAGTCCTTGTGGACCCTACAGCCTACTTTGAACTACCATAGCCTCAGTTGTATTTGAACGTATGATGATGTTATCTAGTTTAGGGAATAGGCCATTAACATACAGTAGGCCCTAGCCCCTGAAAGCATGATCTGGCCAACAAACTGTAGGCTATATTTCTTATTTAAAATATGGCAAAGATTACATATGACCAATATTGTGCATTTTCCTTAATGACAAAAACACACCCAAACACTTGGTTAAAGGCTTTTACCACTGTAAAATACCCTACCCCTGGGATTCATTTCAGTGTTTGTTTGGGGTGAGTGACATTTTACTGGAGCGTGACAGACAACGCTTGATGATTTACATTTTTAGTCATTTAGTAGACGCTCTTATCCAGAGCGACTTACAGTTAGTGAGTGCATACATTTTGATCAGAGTAGAATATTCGAGCATGTGTAACACAAGCAGAAACTTTAAAATGAAATGCTACTTTGTTGCAGAGCAGACATGACGAATATGCACGGCTGTTATATTGATCATGTAGGCTGTGTGCAGCAATAGTTTGCTATTTACCGTTTTCGCTGTCGATATATAAATTGTGGCATTCTCTCAAGATTCGTTCACTGGGTGTGGTGATCGCGGATTCTAGAGGGTTTGCCACAGAACGGGGCTTTCTACCGCCCGACATGACAGTTGTAGAACTACCTTCCACCATCTTTCAAATGACAGGGGCACGATTACAGCAGTGTTGCCCAACTCCTCAGTAAGGAAAGTAGCTATTGGCTGTCCTAAAAGTCGCTAGAAGTCGCCAAGTGACGTCATCACCTAATTTGCATAATTGGCCATGTGCATGTAATTGTGACGGACGCTGTAGGAGAGAGGAATAACGTCGTGGGAGAGACAAAAAGGGAGTAAAAAACACCCTACATTTACATCCCGCCCTGAATGTAAGCCAGGGCGGGATCAGCCAGCTGCGGCTTCCCGCATGCGCGATTCATTTTCAGTCTGGACAAGGAGTGGTAAACATCTCCTGCTCTGACTGCAGATGGGAGGGACTGCTACGGGAGGACTGGGCTGTGAGTGTTTCGGGACAGGGGTGGGACGTCAGCACCCGCTGCTCGTTGAGAAGAGTAAGAACGAAACGTGCTTTCACGTCAGAGTCTCCAATAACACCAGACAAAGTCGCTAAGTTGGCAACACTGGCACAGGGTCAATGATTTGCGCATAGATAGAACCATTTGTGTTTTAGATGAGGTTATGTCAAATTTACATCTAAAGTTGTTTTTTTTGTGTGCAGTTTAGCATTTTAGCTAACTCTAAACATTTTCCTAACCTTAACCTAATTATCCTAACCTGTTGCGTAAATTCTAACCGGCTACGAAAAATATATTATGTGCCATTCTGACACAGTATCCCATCTAGTCGAAGCCCTTAGAAGGCTTGACAGCGCCGCCCTGAGACTAAAATGTAGAAGTACAGCTCAAAATAACAAAGATTCCCATGTCAGTTGCACGGTTTACAGTAGTATTAATTTAGTAGACAATACATCATATAAGTAAATACAAGGGTCTCTTTTGTCTACAAATTGGGTAAGAATTTAGACATTTTGACATTCAAAGTCCAATATGTTTGTGTAAACTTGCAAGGTTGGGCTACTATATACTGTAGGTCTAGTGAAAGGTATGTAGTCTCTAGGGCTAGCTAGGCTCTATAGCAGGGTTCTTCAATTCCGGTCCTGGAGGGCCGAAACACCTCTGTTTTTCATCCTCTCCTTCTAATCAGGGGCTAATTCAGACCTGGGACACCAGGTGAGTGCAATTAACTACCAGGTAGAAATAAAAAACAGAAGTGTTTCGGTCCTCCAGGACCGGAATTGAAGAACCCTGCTCTATAGGCTATAGTCAGTAAACTGAAGAAAGAGGTTACGTTTTTTCCCCATTGTGAAAATTAATGTAGAAATGGAAATCATTGAAATTATAGTAAAGGCATGCAGCCTATCCGGCAACAGTGGAATGACCATCCTGCTGACCAAGAAGGGGCTTATGAGCTTTGTTGGTCACTTGACTTCACAAACAATGAGGTCTTTATAATCAAAAAGGAAAATTGCCACACTGATGACCAGAAAATAGGTCAAATCCAATATACCTTTTCTTAGTTTTTGTGCATGGTTTTCAAATAGACCTGGGCTATACCTTTTAAATTGCACCTTGCCAAATGTTGGATAAAACAAATTAATTATAGATCAAAATCATTATTAGTCAACCTCAGTGGATAGTGCAATTTCTTAACTTGTTTCACATCAGATTAAGGTCAATTTACTGCATAGGCCTACTGGTAGCAGAGTAGCCTAAAGGAATGCTGTCAAGAGTTCATTAAACACCCTCATACTAGTGGTAATAATACAGCCTAGGCTACAATAGAATCATCACACCTACAACACGTGTGCCTTTGGGTGCGACCAGACCATAAGTAGCCTAGGTTTAATCCATAAGTAGGTTAGGTTTAATCCATAAGTAGGTTGCAGTTGCTTTACTTGCATAAATAGTGCTTTTTAATTTTTTGGGCTCAATGAACGAAATTCAAAATGGATAGCAATGCAGAATTAAAGAAAGAGGTAGGCCTTTTATTAATGATAAAGGGAAAAATAGCCTAATGTTTGATGAAGATATCTGCAGAAAATGGATGAACTGTAACCGGTGTGTGAGAGAGATGCGTTTCGGTGCATATTCAATGGTTACTGTGTCTAAAGAGTGCAGAGTTTCCCACTCGTAAAAAATAGAAAAGTCTGTAATGCAATGTTATGCTCAGACGAGGGGACACTGGGTCATCCAAGGAACAACTGATCAATTGTATTATCCTCACTATATTTACTGCGCAACCCAAACACATCCTCGAAAGGCACTCCGCTTGAGGATGAGTAGGCTACATTAGCCTAGGAGAGAGCAACTTTTGCACTTGTAGTAAGATATATGCCTTTTGCTAGACAGCAAAACCTGTATACAATCTGAAGTTGTACATAGATAAAACAAAAAACAGGACTCAAAATGACTAAAGGAGATATGGAATATCAACTTTTGCTTGAAGGCAGCACAGGAACAAAAGAGAAAATTAAGGTATGTATAATAATATTAAGAAGAAGTGTTATTGCTATATTAGTAATAATAACAACAACAGTAGTAACACATGCATTACTATTATTATTATTATTATATTAGTGTTGTTGTTATTATTATTATTATTATTATTAGTGTGAATTATAAGTTATGTTAACCAATAATAAATAATAAATACATTTACATTTTAGTAATTTAGCAGACGCTCTTATCCAGAGCACCTTACAGTTAGTGAGTGCATACATTTTCGAAACATATCTTGTTTTAAACTAACTAAGCCCACTGTTTTTGGTGTCCTTCTCCTGAAAATAGGGCCTAAAATTCTTATAAAGTTATTTAAAGAAACCTATAGCCTACTTAATTGTCTACACTTGGCTATTGTAATTAATAACCTTAGCTAAAATATGTTTGATATGTATTTGTGCCTCATTTGGACTTCTGAAAGCTATCTAATAGTTAAATATGATAATGATTGGGCTACACCTGTTGGAGGTATCCTTTTTCTGTTCAATACTGAATGTTGAAAAGTATAGCACAGAATCTGTACATATTATGGGATGCTAAACCACCAATTGTGTATTATTGGTTTCAGCGTCCGAACAAATCCCTTCTACTGGCAATTTGTGCAGCTTGCATTGGCGGGACCTTTCAATATGGTTATAATATTTCCATCATCAATGCCCCCACCAAGGTAAGACATTATTGTCAATATTTGTCTATGTAAAGGGGGAATCTGGAGTTGCTACATCCATTTTGGGACTTATAAATTAATGATATGTACCTACTGATTCATTAAGAATGTAACTTATAAATGCCTTATGAGCTTAGTTCAACTGCTGTACCCCATCAGAACCCAAAATATAAGCTTGTTTTATTCCAATGTTTGTAAACAATGTAAATGTAAACAACCACTGTATGGCCAAAAAACATGGTTAAAACTATAATTTTTATATGATGGATGGTCAGTCCTTGCATCTATAGCGCTGTCTATGAATTTGAGCTTGGTTACATGTATCCAGCCCCCTCCCTCAGCTTTTATTGAAACAGTGGCAGGAATTACATTTTGTAATTGTTTCAAAAGCAGATTGCCCCTTTAAGTGTAATATACTTAGATGAAATACTTAGAGAAAATGTTTAGGTGTTAATGAATTAATGAGAAGATGATACTGACATTGGATAATCATTTTGTATTCTGTCCTCATGTTTTTTCCCCAGTCTGTGCAGAATTTCATCAACCAAACCTGGCTGGAGCGCTATGATGAGGACATCTCAGAGAAATACCTCACTCTACTGTGGTCCAGCATCGTGTCCATTTTCACAATAGGAGGATTTGTGGGAGCAACTATAGGTGGAACAATGGCCATTAGATTTGGGAGGTATAAAGAAGTGTTTTGTTAATAGTGGCTTGTATCCTCATTTGGATCTTTGTCTCCAATTTTACACATAGGCTATTACTATTTTGGCAATAGCCATTTGACTGCATGCATTCTTTTCTCCAAACAAGGCACTTTCAATACATGTTTCATTAACGGCAAACATTCTGTGTCAAAGAAAAGGGACACTAATGATGAACAACGCATTTGCCTTACTGGCTGCTCTGTTGATGGGCCTGAGCTACCCCACTGGATTATTTGAACTGCTCATCGTTGGACGATTTTTCACAGGAGTAAATGCGGGTAAATATGTCAGTGCGTTAGTCAAGTGAAGTGTTGACATCAGCAGTTTGCAGTCTTTATTTCTAAGCTGGATGAGTTGAAAAATATAGATGTTTTGAAGGTTCTGTCTTGTCTGTAAGTCAATATGCCACACTTTGTTCTAATAATATGCTGATTGGCAGGCATTGGCATATGCGTTCAGCCACAGTATCTGGGGGAAATCGCCCCAAGGGCACTTCGTGGTGCCATGGCAATGGGGACTTCTGTTTTCATCACCGGGGGCATCCTTACTGGACAGGTGATTGGGCTTAAGTAAGTTTAGATCATCCTGGACTATTGCCTACTAATTTGCAGATTACTTTGAAATGAAGACTGCGCATCATTTCTTGTGTGTGTTCCTATAATGAGTGTCTATGATCCTGCAGTGAGCTCCTGGGTAAAGAAGAGCACTGGCCCTTCCTGCTCTGCACCACCTGTATCCCAGCGGTCCTGCAGCTCCTCATACTGCCCTGGTTCCCAGAAAGCCCTCGCTACCTGCTGATCGACAGAGGGGATGACGTTGGATGTAGAAACGGTATGTTCCAATCACGTGAAAAGATCTACCATGAGCTCTCTCACATACATAGGGACTGACTCCTTGTCTTAAAACAACAGTCATCGTGCTGAAAACTATTGAGACAGAAAAGTTTTTTTAGCAAAAAAGTAGGATCTAAGTGTGCAAACCTAAATTGTAACCTACAATCATTCATCTAAAAAAAGAGAGCTGAGCTGTGTCACCCTGTACCTGAACATTGATTTGACACGATGCACGTGATGGAACGCTTGGAGGGGGTGATGATTCAGCCTTTATCTGAGATCAGGGTGGGAAACATAAATTGTACAAATCTTTCCCCTTGAGAGACATACTGGGGCAAGCACATGACTGCAGTGCATACTGTAACAGCAGGTTACACTGCCAGGCAATGTCTCTCATTAGTCACACAATCCTTGATCATCAAAGAAATATCTCTGTGTATCCCACTGTGTCTGTCTGGTTTGGTTTTGTTAGGCTGGCTGGGTGAATGAGTGGATTCCTGTTTGTTATGAGTGTGAGGGATAACAAATGAAGCGTGGAGAGGAGAGAGACCATGTGAGCTGTGTCTTGTGTTTCCTGTGGACAGCGATGAAGCAACTCCACGGCACGGATAACTTTGATCGCGAGCGGGAGGACATGGAGAGGGAGAGGATCAGCGCCATGGGCATTAAACCCAAGAAGCCCTGGCAGCTGTTCATGGACCGCAGCCTCCGCTGGCAAGTCCTCACCATCATCCTGCTCAACGCTGCCCAGCAGCTCAACGGCATCAACGCTGTATGTCAGCAACAGAACAAATTGCCACACATGACCCTATGTCCCCTCAGGGCTGCAACGTTTATCAGTATGAACTCAAGTCAGTTGAGATCAGAAGAAGTTGGTTTAAATGTACAATATTCCATTCACAGAACTCTCATGTTAAGTTCATATAACCTGCAGGACATTCATATTGTTATAGGGTATATAGACTATAGGGTATACATGTACCGTATATAGTATGATATATTTTGCTGGGTGGGCCAACAAAATGTAACTTGGGGCCCCAAAAGCCTAGGGCTGGCTCTGACTGCATGACGAGTTCTGATTTTTTTGTGGCCCCCACCCCCTTCAAAGTTGCCCATCCCTGGTATACACTATAGGGTATAGTGTGAAGGACCTGTGTTTCACTTGTTTTCTATCACTCTCTCTCTCTTGCAGATTTATTTTTATGCAGATTATGTGTTTGAGGAGGCCGGAATTCCAGAGGTTAACATACCCTACGTAACTGTGGGCACAGGAGCCTGTGAATGCCTCACTGCCCTTACCTGTGTGAGTGTCAACTATTGGTCATAGTACATATATTTAGAAGCATGCATAAAGTCCATCGTAGAGCGGAAATGTCATACAACCCCATGATTCTTTGCATGGATTTATTAGTTTTTAGAATCCTCTTTACAACATGACTGATCGCAAATTTCATCATGCTATGCTGGTATGACAGTTCTGTTCTCATTGAATGCTATGCTATGATTTATGTTACTATTCATCTGGTGGATTAACATATTTAATGAAGATACCAGTGTTGTGATATTAAGTATGATTAGAAGATGTGTTGACTACAGATGTCGGATCTTAATCCTGCAGCAACAGGAAATGTGAATTATTATGTGGATTATAATTAATGGACATTTTTGTAGGAGTTGATACATTTTTCGTAAGGGAAATCAAGTCTGAAATTTTAAAGTCCAAATTACAAACTTCAGAAGCCTTTTTAAACCTCAAATACACTACAAGTTTAAAATGTCCTGCATTTAAAGGAAAGTTCTCTTGCAACAGGTTAATCAAATTAATATCCTACATCTAAGTTTTTTAACTCAGAAGATCTTATATTTCTCCACATTCTTATATTTCTGCTGGTATGTCATATGAGATGCTGTGTCTTTCAGGGCATGCTGATCGAATCTCTGGGACGAAAAGTGCTCATCATCGGAGGGTACACCCTAATGGCTTTCTGGTGCATTTGCTTCACTCTGACCCTCACCTTCCAAGTAAAGCATCTTTGATCTAACAATTCCATTTCGGTCTCTTATTAAATCAGAATAAGAGACCTGTGTTGCACTTAAATAAGTTATGGTTGATTAAACCAACCCTTAAAAAGGTCCAATGCAGCTATTTGTATCTCAATATCAAATAATTGCTGGGTAACAAGCCCCAGTGCAGTCACAAACGGGATTTTCTCCTGTGTTTTATATATATTTCCACACTACGAGGTTGTGACATTTTTTACATTATGATAATGCCCTTTTGGTGTAAGAGCTGTTTGAAAAGACCGCCTGAAATTTCAGACTGTTTTAGTGGGATGGAGTTTTGGCCTGCCTGGTGATTAGTTAATAGACCAATAAGATAGAGAGTTCCAAACCTCTCTGCCAATAACATTATCTTAACACGAGATTTTACATTTTTTAATTGTATTCATTTAGCAGATGCTCTTATTCAGAGCGACTTACAGTTAGTGTATTTTCCCAAACACACTCCCAGACAGTCCTATCAAAATTCTTGCTTGAGAAATTGCTCCTTGCTAAGAAGTTTATTTTTGACAATTTTAATTGAAAACAATCACATTAAGGTACTTAATTGTTACCCAGAAATTATTTTATATTGAGATAAAAACGGCTGCATTGGACCTTTCATGTTGCTTGGCTGGCCGCTTTGAGAACACTAGTTTTCTATGATCTAATTGTTGTCTTCTTTCATTGAACGCAGGGAGCAGGCCTATGGATGCCTTATCTTAGCATGGGATGCGTCTTTGCTTTCATACTCAGCTTTGGTTTGGGACCAGGTAACCGACAGAACTTACTTATCGCTCATTTATGCCGGTTTTGCCAGACTTTGTGTGATCTGGCATCAATATTATTCATTATCTGATTATAAATTACTTTAAAATGAACACTATACCTTCACTTTGTCCTTTGGAGGTGGTGTGACAAACATCTTGACCACAGAGTTATTCACACAAACCACACGGCCTGCTGCATACATGATCGGAGGGTCCGTGAACTGGCTCAGCTTCTTCTTCATTGGCATGGTGTTTCCATTTATTGTGGTAGGTTCCAAGTGTTTGCAACCGTGACACTTAACCTTTAAAATAAGGAGTATGGTTAGTGTTACAGTAGGTTATACAATACTAGAGTAGTTTGATATCCGTACTGTCGATTGATATGGAAATAGGAGAGATGGCTGTTTGGAGAGATGGTTCTAGATTGGTTTGGTCTGCTCTTTTACCTCCACAGACTAAGCTGCAGCAGTACTGTTTCCTGGTGTTCTTGGTGATTTCGGTCTTGGTTGCTGTATACATATTCCTGGTAGTCCCTGAGACCAAGAACAAAACCTTCCTGGAGATCCATACGGAGTTCCAGTCCGGAGACAAGAGGAAGGCTTCAAAAGCAGATGACGGCCCAAGGACAACATTGTTGTCAACCCCTCTGTGAAACACAGCTCCAGTGTTTGCTGCAAGGACTTTTTTTTTTACATTAAATTTTTTAGTCATTTAGCTGACGCTCTTATCCAGAGCGACTTACATTATGTATTTCTTTTTTCATACTGGCCCCCCGTGGGAAACGAACCCACAACCCTGGCGTTGCAAACGCCATGCTCTACCAACTGAGCTACATCCCTGCCAGCCATTCCCTCCCCTACCCTGGACGACGCTGGGCCAATTGTGCGCCGCCCCATGGGTCTCCTGGTCGCGGCCGGCTACGACAGAGCCTGGATTCGAACCAGGATCTCTAGTGGCACAGCTAGCACTGCGATGCAGTGCCTTAGACCACTGCGCCACTCTTATTCAACAACTGGCAGTGTTATGAATATCTCACTGTCATATAGATACAAAGTTCCAGAATGTGTGTTCTTTGTCAGGGATTGTGAAGTGTAGGCATTATGGTAATTGGTGGCAGAACGGAGTGCTCGGGGTAGGGTGTAGGGTTTGAGCATGCTAGCAGACACCATAGACTTCCAGACATTATGCTAACGCTAGTTAGCAACTTCCTTAACACAGCACGCAGACACATAAAAATGGTATCCCCAAGATAATCTGACTCTGGGGAAGTAGATAAAGGGCCTAAGCTAGAACTCTGCTGTCCTAGCTTCAGAGGGAAGCTAGTTCCACCATTGGGGTGCCAGGACAGAGAAGAGCTTAGACTGGGCTGAGCAGGAGCTGGGGGTGGGAGGGCCAAGAGACCAAAGGTGGCAGAACGGAGTGCTAGGGTTGGGGTGTATGGTTTGAGCATAGCCTGAAGGTAGGGAGGGACTGTTCCTTTTGCTGCTCCGTAGGCGAGTACCATGGTCTTGTAGTGGATGCGAGCTTCGACTGGAAGCCAGTGGAGTGAGTGGAGGAGCAGGGTGACATGGGAGAACTTGGGAAGGTTGAACACCAGGTGGGCTGCAGTGTTCTGGATAAGTTGCAGGGGTTTATGGCACAAGCGGAGAGCCAGCCAACAGCGAGTTGCAGTAGTCCAGACGGGAGATGATAAGTGCCTGGATTAGGACCTGCGACGCTTCCTGTGTGAGGTAGGGTCGTACTCTACGGCTGTTGTAGAGCATGAATCTGCAGGAGCGAGTCACTGCTTTGATGTTTGCAGAGAACGACAGGGTGTTGTCCAGGGCCACGCCAAGGTTCTTTGCCCTCTGGGAGGGGGACACCGTGGAGTTGTCAACCGTGATGGAGAGGTCTTGGAGCGGGCAGGCCATCCCCGGGAAGAAGAGCAGCTCCGTCTTGTCAAGGTTGAGCTTGAGGTGGTGGGCCAACATCCAAGCTGAGATATCGGCCAAGCTTACAGATGCGTGTCGCCACCTGGGTGTCATAAAGGGAGAAGGAGAAAAGTAGCTGAGTGTCATCTGCATAGCAATGATAGAGAGACCATGTGAGGATATGACAGAGCCGAGTGACTTAGTGTATAGAGAGAAAAGGAGAGGGCCTAGAACCGAGCCCTGGGGACACCAGTAGTGAGAGTATGTGGTGCTGACACAGATCTTCTCCATGTCACCTGGTAGGAGCGGCTTGCCAGGTAGGATGCAATCCAAGAGTGTGCAGAGCCTGAGACACCCAGACCTGAGAGGGTGTAGAGGAGGATCTGATGGTTCATGGTGTCGAAGGCAGCAGATAGACCTAGGAGGATGAGAACAGAGGAGAGAGAGTCAGCTTTGGCAGTGCGGAGAGACTCCGTGACACAAAGAAGAACAGTCTCGGTTGAGTGACCTGTCTTGAAGACTGACTGGTTAGGGTCAAGAAATTGTTCTGAGAGAGACAGCGAGAGTTGGTCAGAGACAGCACGCTCAAGTGTTTTGTAAAGAAAAGAAAGAAGGGATACTGGTCTGTAGTTTTTGATGTCAGAGGAGTTGAGTGTTGATTTCTTGTGGAGTGGAGCGACTCGAGTCATTTTGAAGTCAAAGGGGATGCAGCCAGTGGTCAGGGATGAGTTGATGAGGGAAGTGAGGAATTGGAAAAGGTCTCCAGAGATGGTCTGGAAAAGGGAGGAGGGGATGGGGTCAAGCGGGCAGGTTGTCGGGCGGCCAGACCTTGCTAGTCACAGGATTTAATCTGGAGACAGAGGGGAGAAAGAGGTCAAGGTGTAGGGTAGTTCTGTGTGAGTGGGACCAATGGACTCAATAGGCTGAGTGAATGAGGAGCGGATGTTGTCAACCTTCTTTTCAAAGTGGTTGACAAAGTCGTCCGCGGAGAGGGAAGAAGGAGGGAGTGGAGGATTAAGGAGGGAGGAGAAGGTGGAAAATAGTTTCCTAGTGTTAGAGGTAGAAGCTTGAAATTTAGATTGATAGAAAGTGGTTTTAGCAGCAGATACAGAGGAAGATAAGGTAGAGAGGAGGGAGTGAAATGATGATAGGTCCTCCGGAAGTTTAGTTTCCCTCCATTTTCACTCAGCTGCCCGCAGCCCTGTTTCTTTAAGCTCGCAATGAGTCACTCAGCCATGCAGCAGGAGGGGAGGGCCAAGCCAGCCGGGAGGAAAGTGGACAGTGCGAATCATAGGATGCAGAAAGGGAGGAGAGTAGGGTCAAAGAGGCAGAATCAGGAGACAGGCGAGAGAAGGATTTAGCAAAAGGGAGAGATGATTAGTATAGAAGAGGAGAGTAGTGGGAGAGAGAGCGGAGATTGTGAGGGCGCATGACGATCTAGGTGGGGGCTGAGTGGCTAGGGTTGTAGGAGAGGGAGACAGAAAAGGAAACAAAGTAGTGATCAGAGACTTGGAGGGGGGTTGCAGTGAGATTAGTAGGCGAACAGCTTCTAGTAAAGATTAGGTCAAACGTATTGCCTGCCTTGTGAATGGGAGGGGACTGAGAAAGGGTGAGGTCAAAAGAGGCAAGGAGGGGAAAGAAAGAGTTGGAAAGAAATGAATCGAAAGCAGACGTCAGGAGGTTGAAGTCGCTAAGTATGAAGAGCGGTGAGCCATCGTCAGGAAATTAGCTAATCAAGGTGTCAAGTTCATTGAGGAACTCTCTAAGGGCACCTGGTGGGCGATAGATGACAACAATGTTAAGCTTGAGTGGACAAGTGACAGTGACAGCATGGAATTGAAATGAGGAGATGGACATGTGAGTGAGGGAGAAAATAGAAAATCTCCACTTAGGAGAAATTAGTAGCCTTGTGTCACCACCGCAACGACCAGATGCTCTCGGGCTATGAAAGAAAACATAGTCAGATGAAGAGAGAGCAGCTGGAGTAGCAGTGTTCTCTGGGGTGATCCATGTCTCGGTCAGGGCCAAAAAGTCAAGGAACTGAAGGGCAGCGTAGGCTGAAATGAACTCAGCGTTCTTGACCGCAGATCGGCAGTTCCAAACACTGCCAGAGACCAGGAATTCCACATGGGTTGTGTGTGCAGGGAACACTAAATTAGAAGGGCTGCAGCCAAGGGGTGGGGAGCGTCTGTAAAGCCTACAGGGAGCGGTGCGAACAGGTATAGAAAACACACACACAATTTCCAAAGCTACAAAAGAGCAAAATTAGATCATCTGAAAATAACTAGTTAAGATACTCAAGTGAGAGAGTGGTGTGGAGTCTTCCTCTCTTTCCTTCCTCGAATAACTCTGCTGAACAACTCGGCAGAACCGTCTTAGTTTTGCGACGAGACCACCGCTGACACGACCATCACAGACATGCCCGCAGCGACTGCCGCTGAGAAAACAAATTACTGATAGGGGCCGCTGTTTTGAAGCCACCGCGCCGCCATCTTGGCACTCCCCCACCATTGTACAAAATATTTTGGAAGCTATAGAAATGCATTTATTAATGTCTACATTTGTTTTTGCCATGTTTATTCTATTAGGGCCAGGACTGTCAAACTTCATTTTCCTGTGATTTACATATATTTCCACACTATGATCGAATAATACTGTGAAAGAAGAGAGAAACCAGCACACTGCTCTTGCTAGTATCACTGTTCTTTATTAAGCTTTATGTATCGCCCTCTCTGCCTTCATCAAAGATTTTGTGAGTGTTTGAAATTTGCACCCATAATATGTAGACATTGCCCCACCCATATCCGTTCAGATCCATTGCTAACACACATCCTTACCCAGAAATGATTGATATAGTTAAAAACGGCTGCATTGGGCCTTTAAGTATATATATATATATATATATATATATATATATATATATATATATTAGAAAGTACTAATGTTACTGTCCCCACTACAAAAACAAAATACTAAAGTAAAATCAGCAGCATCACAGCCATATGGACAGGCCATATGATAAGGAAGTTGTCTAGAAACAGAACAAATAAATAATTCAGGGTAAGGAGGAAGGAAAATGCCATAAGGGGTATAGATAAAAATTTAATAAGCTATTACAGAAATTGAAGGATCCATTTTATATTGAAAACACTGATGGAGATATTAGGTTTCTTGTTTTAATTGACATGGAATATATATCTTCCTTGTCAATTAAAACAAGAAACTGATGCCACCCCATGCTCCGTCTATGCTTCATGCTTGCTGCTATATACAGAAATTTGCCAAGCTGTGACCTCCACTGATATCTCACAAACTGATGGTGCATTTTCTTAAAACGACATGAGAATGAGACCCTTTCTGTTCATGCATACCTATCGGCTATCGCACTGACAAAAGGCAACCTGCGAGTACCAAGCTCAGTTCCATTGAACGTCTCAGCTACAGATTGTAACGCACAAGCCGAATGACTGCTAGTCGGCAGTGCACTTTCTGCCATGTGCCCGGGGACTGTCCCCTAGGGCGTTCCTGGAGAAACTTAGTTCTCAGTTAGTAGCCTAATTTATAAGCCTTCCTAATGCTCCATGTACATTATCGCGTAAATGCATTATGTAGGTTAAAGTAAATATACAATTTTAACTGACGTTGTGTAACTTTCAGAATGTTGTTGTTTTTACAGCCATAATGTACACTTTTTATTCTGCAAACATTTACTCACAAAATAGATCTTAAGCGTCATTTTATACTAAATTTTTTTATTAAACCCTCATCTCAAATCTAAAAGGATTATGTGAAATCTGCTGCTCGGCCATCCATTGATCACGCCCTGCACGACTTTTGTTTTGACTCAATTGGTGGCTATGTAGCCTACAGATTACCGTTCTCCTAGCAGCAGGATATTATGCGGGCAGCACGATCAGTTGTTTATTTTCAAAATAAGAGTCCCCCTGCAAAGACACGCTAAATTGGGAATATCTATTTTTTCCAGTCCAGTGCAGTACAACTGTTTTTCACAGCACTGCAACCACCTTTGAAAAAAATATAATTTCACGTATTTTATTATATATTTTCCACCCCACTTTAGCTGAGACAGAAAATGTATCTCTCTACAACCCAATATTCTCAACATACCAGTTTCAACATTGTATTTTCATTATTGGTCTTAAAAAACATTTTACATGACACTCTTATCCAGAGCGATTTACAGGAGCAATTAGCGTTAAGTGCCTTACTCAAGGGGGAGGGGGGGCTTTAACGTGGAAGGTAGCGTCATTACCCTACAAAAGTGACATAATTTGTGCTGCTGGCAAAATACTAGTAGCCTACAGTACCTAACGTTAGCAAGCAATACAAATACGTTTATCATGGACGGTAGAAAGGCCGTAGAACTAGAAGTGTATTTAGATTTATTGTCACAACCATGTAGAGCAATACATATATTTCTGAACTGCAATAAAATTCCACACAAGGTGAAAACTGTTGCATTACGAAAAGGTGAGTTTCAAGCTGGCTGGGCGAAAGTTAGCTAACGTTTAACGTTAACTACCAACATCATCTAGCTAAAGTTAAACATGCAATCAATCTAGCTATCGTTTTGGTTGCTACTAAAGCAAGATTGTTAATGTTAAATGGAAATGCAAATATGTTTGATACATTTATACACAGACTGAGTGCTACATTGTTTTAAATGCAAAATGTGTGTGCTCTGTCCTGCAATGAACTTAGACCTATTGTACCTTGAACTTTGTCCTACTCTGTACAGCAGCATGCATGTTCTCTGTTGATAGTTGTCCCGAATGTGTACTAACTAGCTATTCAGAATGACAAGTCTATGTTATTATTATTTCACAATCGTCCATGTATTCAAATTTAGACAAATACACTGAACAAAAATATAAACGCAACATGTAAAGTGTTGGTCAAATGTTTCATGAGCTGAAATTAAAAAAATCCCAGAAATGTTCCATATGCACAAAAAGCTTATTTCTCTCAAATTTGTTTACATCCCTGTTAGTGAGCATTTCTCCTTTGCCAAGATAATCCATCCACCTGACAGGTGTGACATATCAAGAAGCTGATTAAATAGCATGATCATTACACAGGTGCACCTTGTGCTGGTGACAATAAAAGGCCACTTTAAAATGTGTAGTTTTGTCACACAACACAATGCCACAGATGCCTAAATTTGAGGGAGAATGCAATTGGCATGCTGACTGCAGGAATGTCCACCAGCACTGTTGCCAGAGAATTTAATGTTAATTTCTCTACCATAAGCTGCCTCCAACATCATTTTAGAGAATTTGGCAGTACGGCCTCACAACGGCAGACCATGTGTAACGACACCAGCCCAGGACCTCCACATCTGGATTCTGCAGGATCGTGTGTGGGGGGGTGCTGAAGAGTATTTCTGTCTGTAATAAAGCCCTTTTGTGGGGTAAAAATCATTCTGATTGGCTGGGCCTGGCTCCCCAGTGGAGGCCCACCCATGTCTGCACCGCTGCCCAATCGTGAAATCCATAGATTAGGGCCTAATGAATTTATTTCAATTTCCTTATATGAACTGTAACTCAGTAAAAACGTTGAATGTTTTTGTTGCATGTTGCATTTATATTTTTGTTCAGTATAGCTAAATGCATAAACCAATACCTCAAAGAAATGTAATTAACATACTGTATCTCAATGACTTTGTTTAAATATAGGGGAGAATAGGACACCAGAGTATACAAAACTCAATCCCATGCAGAAGGTCCCAGTAATGGTCGACAATGACTTTGTTCTGACTGAGAGGTAAGACTCTTCATTCACTTTGTAGTTTAAAATGTTTTTTTTAAAAATGTTTAATGAAAAAAATAAAAGGGGCATTTCCCCTCCCTCATCTTGTTACAGTGATGCCATATTAAAATACCTGGCCACCAAATACGATGTCCCAGGTAACTGGTATCCACGCCACCCAGAGAGGAGGGCGAGAGTGGATGAGTACACAGCATGGCACCATACCAACACCCGGCCACATGCGGCCAAGGTCTTTCTCATGGAGGTAAGGCTTGCTCATGGAACACTCAGCTCTGTCATTTGGCAGGTGAAATGTAGTCTAATCCCAAAGCCACCATCTCTTTGCAGGGTATTACACATTTATGCAATAGACTTTTATTGTTATCTCATGCTCTGTGGTTGTTGTTGATGGCATGCGTCGCTGCTTTGTGCTGTAGGTTTTACTGCCCCAAATGACAGGACAGCCAACAGACCCACTGAAGGTGGAGAGGGCTTTGGCAGACCTGAGTGACACTCTGGAGAAGCTGGAGAACATGTTCCTCAAGAGGCAGCCCTTCCTCTGTGGAGATGACATCAGCCTGGCTGACCTGCTGGCCGTGTGTGAACTCATGCAGGTGAGGAAAACTCAGTCAACTGGTCCATCAGAGCTCAGCCACTGGGTGAACCAGCCACCTCTGCTGAGAAAATGGTCCTACAATGCAGTCAGGAATGTGTCAAATCTCAAAGACTGTCTTTGACTACTTACAGTATATTTTGATGTATGGATTGCTACCCATTTCAGCCTACTAAATTAATTGACTGCTTTGCTCTCAGCCCCTAGGTGGCGGCAGAGACATCCTGAAGGATCATCCCAAGATGTTGAGCTGGAAGAGTCGTGTCCAGTCTGCGCTGGGGGACTCCTTTGACGAGGCACACAGAGTGCTGTACAGTCTCCGGGACAGGTCCAAAGCCAAGCTATGAAATAATCTCAATATGGTTTGATATAAAAGCTTGCACAATGCTTGAAAGCAACCAGATGTATTTACTGATTATGTTTGTGCTGTCCATGTTGACCTAGAGATTGATGTTGTTGATAGGCTCTATGGGAGAGTGATCAGTGCCTTATATGAGCCTCTGTATGATATGCTACAAAATTACTAGATGGTTCCGCATTATGGACCTTGATCTGGAGTGGAGATGGGAAATGTGGAATAGAGTAAGATATATTTTTCAATGATATACAACTGCCTAGAATTAAGGGATGTATAACAATAAAACCCAGTGGAAAAGATGTTTGTTTATTCAACAGTAGCTGTACAAAAACAATTATTTACAAAACAGGAGGCAATTTCCAGTGGACATAGCTCAGTATGTGCCCACAAGTTAGAAATCAACATGTACACTGAACAAAAATATAAACTCAAAATGTAAAGTGTTGGTCCCATGTTTCATGAGCTGAAATAAAAGATCCCAGAAATGTTCCATACGCACAAGAAGCTTATTGCTCTCAGATGTTGTGCACAAATTTGTTTACATCCCTGTTAGTGAGCATTTTTCCTTTGCCAAGATATTCCATCAGCCTGACAGGTGTGGCATATCAAGAAGCTGATTAAACAGCATGAACATTACACAGGTGCACCTTGTTCTGGGGACAATAAAAGGCCACTAAAATGTGCAGTTTTGTCACAACACAATGCCACAGATGTCTCAAGTTTTGAGGGAACATGCAATTGGCATGGTGAGCTGTTGCCAGAGGGTTGAATATTCATTTCTCTACCATAAGCCGACTCCGTCGTTTTAGATAATTTAGCAGTACGTCCAACCGGTTTCACAACCGCAGACCCCGTGTATGGCGTTGTGTGGGCGAGCGGTTGTGAACAGTGCCCCATGGTTGTGAACAGAATGCCCCATGGTGGGGTTATGGTATGGGCAGGCATAAGCTACAGACAAAATAGCATTTTATTGATAGCAATTTGAATGCAGAGATACCGTGATGAGATCCTGAGGCCCATATTGCTAAAGGTATCTGAGTAATAGATGCATATCTGTATTCCCAGTCATGTGAAATCCATAGATTAGGGCCTAATGAATTTATTTCAATTGACTGATTTCTTTAAATGAACTAACTCAATAAAATAAAAATGGTTGCATTTATATTTTTGTTCAGTATAGTAACGTTAATCAAGTACATTTCAGATGATTTCACCATATGTAAAGGAAATGTCGATCTTTAGAACATTTGTTCTATAGCTGCCAACATTTTTATCTGTTCGACGGGTGGATTTTTCGTTTGTCGAACTTGATAATGGAAAAGGTGTTTTTTTATTAAATGATGATTGTCGAATTTGGAAGCTCCACTCCACATTCAATTCTAAATGCCTACTGCTTGCTCAATCTATTTTTCAACTATAAAAATAATGTTTCTTTGCAGGACAATTGTCTGAACTTTCAGGAAGGCCTGAATTGCTTCGCCTTGCTATTCTGGTTGGCTGGATGCAAGTTTCACCATCCAATTATTTAAAATCTAGGCTACAGGAGTGCACGTTTCACCATGGCGATATGTTGGCACATGATAATTATTAAAATATGGCAAATATTAGTACATTCTTGCATTCTATCCACGCTGGCTTTTGCGGGCTACCTGAGACATGAAACAGATAGGTGTTAGGGCATACAGGCTGTAGCAAATTTATTAATGGAAACACTTCAACCACTTAATTTTTATTCGAAACTATTTTTTTCGCTAAAAAAAGGCATTTATGTGTGACGTCATTATATATAGCTGTTTCTATTGACACAAGAGAGTTAAATGGAAACGCACCGCAGCAGGCAATTGTCGCATCTATTTTTCTATGCGAACGTTCTAAATGTCTAAAATCATTGGACAAGTTAATGGAAACAGCTATAGATGTGTGATAAAATGCAATATACTGGTAGATTTCCAGGAGGCCTAATTGCCGGTGGAAAACGACCTGGGGGAGTCGCCAATGGGGTGATGAGGATGAAATGTGACTCATGTTGCCTCTGTGGATGGGCCTGGTCTCCTCTTTGCCGGCTGCTGCTCGCCGTCATCTTCTCTTGACCTCTTTGTAGTTGAAGCCTAAAGTAACAGGAGACATACTTCAATTTTGTGAGCAACACCATACTCTGAACAATATCGCCATATGCAAACCCTCTCTCGAGGGGACCATCAGACAGTTGACATTTTTGTTCTAGCCCTGCACGGACACGCGGAATCACTAATCACCAAGACCTTAGTTAAATCAGGTGTGTCGGTGCAGGGCTAGAACAAAAATATGAACTGTCTAGTGGTCCCCCAGGAGAGGGGTGGGAAACACGGCTATAGTAGAATGACATTGTTTCTCACTACTGTAGCATCTCCTGAGTCTGCTGTGGCATCAGCTGCTGTGGCATCTCCAGAGTCCTTGGGGTACATTATGCATTCAGCAGTCTCCTTCATGGCCTCATCCTGAGATGGAGATTGATGGGACCAGAGATGATTCACTGTTGCCACTTACAACACTGCCTAGCCCCAAATACAAAATACCCCTCCATCCAGTAAACGTACCCGCCTTGACGGCACTAGGGCCAGGCAATGAGAGACGGCAATAAAGCTCTTACCATCAGCCAGGGATGGTGTAAAGCCTCCTCAATGGTGAGGCGGGCATTGGGGTCCACTACAAGCAGCCTCTTCACGACGTCTTTAGCTAGACATGATTGGATAAGTAAAATACGTATTGGACAGCATATATTGAATTATCAATACGACTGTAGTAAAGTACCCAAAGTTCTTTCCCAACCAGAGACAGGAAGAATCCATTTCAAATTTCTATGTGCTCTAGCACATGCATGACAAAGCCAAACAGGGTTTACAGTAGTCCCTTACCATCATCCGAGATGCCGTCCCATTTGGATGGAATAAATGTATAAATTCCCTGCGTGATCTGATCCCTGACTGACAAACCAGTTTGTGCATCAGCGTGGAACGGGGGATAGCCTGCCAAGCTGTGAGGGAGAGAGGAAGTAAGCTTCACTTTAAAAAGGTTATGTGAATCTGTTAACAGGAAAACCTTGCGTGCTGTTGAAAAGTAATCGTGGCCCAAGTTATTTGCAAATGGATTGAAATAATTGCATTACAATTCCCTTTAAATGTTGACAGAAACAAGTTACTTGCCACTTCCTACTACTGCTACAGTCATAGCATGCAGCACTGTCATTTATGTTACCCTGTCATCAGGAGTATGGATCCCTACCACACAAACAGGACGACCCCTAAACTCCAGGCGTCTACGGCCCTGCTGTAACCCACGGTGACTGCGTCGGTGAACACCTCGGGTGCCAGGTACGTGGGTGTTCCACAAAGGGTCCTCATCAGGGCAGACTCCTCCAGTATCTTGGACTGATTAAAGTCTGTGATCTGTCACATAGAGAGGCCTGTAACTCCTCACTTCAGTTACAGTGACTATTCAACCAAGCTTTCAGTTCCCCCCCCCCCCCTTCTCCAGATCTAGAGTGTTTAGAGGTCTGCTTCAGGAAGGCAAGGAGTTCAGGTGGATAACTATCTACCCTCACTTACTCTTGATGTACCATGTTCAATTATTGTGGGAAAATGACCCACATGATGACTTTACTTGAGAAACCTTACCTTGATGACACAAACATCGTCCTGTGACGAAAGCAGCACATTTTCAGGTTTGAGGTCTCTGTGGATGATGCCATTTTTGTGAAGGTACTAGTGGAAGGAATGTGAAATAAACCAGCATAAGGAAGCAGTTGTAAACCTACTCAAGAGACAGTAAATATCTCCAGTCTAAAACAAGATCGGTATGGCGTATTTTGACATCACAGCAGAGCCTATTCAATAAATCCTACCATGAATATCACTCTTCTAGAAATTAAAATGGGAAAATGATGGAGAAATACATCACTCCACCCACCTCTACGGCTTTCAACATCTGGTAAAAATAGAGCTTGGCAATTGACTCCTCGATCTGGTGCTTGCTTTTGACCCTGTCAAAGAGTTCTCCACCCTCCATGCTGAAACACATACATGCTATCAGTTGAAACAGAATAAAACAAACGGGAAGGGAAATACTATGCTTGTGAAAATTGTACTTCTGAGGAGGGCTACTGAAAATATTACATTAATATTACATGCAATGTAATGATAATGGTTTGTCATTGATTTTAAAAAAATGTCTGCTTGAATGAAATACTAAACTCACAGCTCTAAAACAATGTAGTATGAGTCATCTGTTTGGAAGAAGTCTTCTGTTTTGATTAGACATGGCTGAAAAAGACAGGAGGCAAAAGTTACACAGAAAAATACTACAGGTGTTTTTGATACAAAGTGGTTGTATAAAAAAAGTGTTATGACTGTGGCTTTGTCCAGTAGAAAACATAAGTTGAAAATGACTACTTCTATGGTATTTGATTACCCCAGAAATAAAACATGGTTGGACATGAAAATAACCATTCCTTTACTAGGCTCCTTTCCTTGGCTCCTTTCCTTGGCAATCATTACAGCGTAATAAGTTATAGATGTACACAGTGTACAAAACATTATGAAGACCTTCCTAATATTGAGTTGCCCTCTGAATGGCACACATACACAATCCATGTCTCAAGGCTTAAAAATCATTTTTTAACCTGTCTCAGTTGGTAGAGCATGGCGTTTGCAACGCCAGGGTTGTGGGTTCGATTCCCACGGGGGGCCAGTATGACAAAAAAATAATAATGTATGCACTCACGAACTGTAAGTCGCTCTGGATAAGAGCGTCTGCTAAATGACTAAAATGTCATGTAAATGTCTTCTCCCCTTCATCTACACTGATTGAAGTGGATTTAACAAGTGACATCAATAAGGAATCATAGATTTCCCCTGGAATTACCTGACCAGTCATGCAAAGAGCAGGTGTTCATAATGTTTTGTACACTCAGTGTATAAACAGGCTATTAGAAATTACAATGAATACTTACTTACATGGTCAATCTTTTGGAGGATCTGGATCTCTCGTTCCGCATTTCGTGTGGCAGTCTAATTGCACAAAAAGGAGTGTTACGTTTATTGCAGTAATATTCATAAACCTAGAACATGAGAAAAATTGTGAAAAGACTTACGCCAACAGATGCTGGGAAGTCCTTCTTGTTGATTGTCTTCACAGCCACCTTTTTGCAAGTGGCCCTCTCAAAGGCCAGCCTCACTTCCCCGCACACACCACTGATATAATAAATCATTATCAGCCACGTTTACACACATTGATCATATTAGAATGTCACTCTGTAATTCAAAACAAAATCATATGATTTTGTAAAATACACAAGTAAAAAATGTATCAAATGCTCACTTACGCTCCAATCTTTTTGGTGATCAGGTATTTCTCACTGAACTCTTTGGGGAGGTTGGACTGTTCATCCGCCATGAGATCAATGAACACAAACACTAATGAGGGGAGAAACTATTAATCTCATTTATTATAAATGCAAAAACTAAAACCGGCATCACCAATAAGGGAATGATGCAGTATACTTAATGTTGAGAGCGACAGGGAATATAGTGGAATGCTAGATATGGCCTCCTGGCTGCTATTTGCGTATCAGTGACCTAAACAGAAATGACTTGAAAATAAACCTCTGTAACAAGGGTACCTTTATGGCGTTCCTCAGCTAGGGACAACACTGCATTGTTTGCTAGTGGCAACGTTTTTCCTTTTCCAAGAATTTTACCGTCAACAAACGTGCCATTACCACTGTTGTCAAAGACATAGACAATGTTCTGCTCCTGCAAGGTAAAGATCTGACCGTCATTACTGAGCACACATGACGAACAAAATTCACTTCTGTAAATAAAATATTATGAAATACATAATTGTGTCAAATGAATAGACCTACTCTGAATATTCTGAAATGTTTTTTGCTGTATGCAGCAAATCTGGGTGATTTCTTCAGTACGGGGTCATCAAAGCAATAGTTACATTTAGTGTCCCGGCCAAACCAAGCGTCGTCCTCAACACAGTCTGAAAAAAATGGAAGTAAATCTAACACCATCACTTCAATAGAGAAGAGAATACACAGATGCTAGCGCTGCTAGTTGAGAAATACAAAGAATCTCACACAAACAAAGCAAACTGCACACACACTCAGCTTCCACATGGACTGCGTTCAGCAGGACACAACGTTGTTCATTGAACGTAAACAGTGCTGTTCTGAATGACCAGTTGAAGAACATTTTGATTACTGATTATGGTGGCAATGAGGGCAATTATGTACAGTGTGCTGCTGCAGTAGTTTGCAATTTCAAATGGTCACACCCATATTGATCAGGTCACACCCCGCCACACCCAAATGGGATCAAACATACCTCAAAGAATGTTGAGGAACGGTGCGCGCCGTGGTGGGAAAACGTGTTGTCCAGTACAAACTGTAGCAAAATGTTTCATAACTAAACGTGCCCCTGTATTCACTGCCTACAGTAGCTACGGAATTGTAACGCGATATGCGATGGCTCTGTATCTGGGGTTACAGCTTAGCTAATGGAAAACGCTGCTACATACAGTGCATTCGGAAAGTATTCAGACACCTTTACTTTTTCCACATTGTTTCGATAATGCCTAACTCTAAAATGGATTAAATATTTTTCCCCTCATCAATCTACACACATTACCCCATAATGACAAAGCAACAGGTTTAGAAATGTTAGCAAATGTATTAAAAATAAACATCTGAAATATCACATTTACATAAGTATTCAGAACCTTTACTCTGTTGAAGCACCTTTGCCAAAGATTACAGCCTTGAGTCTTCTTCGGTATGACGCTACAAGCTTGGCACACCTGTATTTGGGGAGTTTCTCCCATTCTTATCTGCAGATCCTCTCAAGCTCTGTCAGGTTGGATGGGGAGCGTCGCCGCACAGCTATTTTCAGGTCTCTCCAAAGATGTTAGATCAGGTTCAAGTCCGGTCTTTGGCTGGGCCACTCAAGGACATTCAGACTTGTCCCGAAGCCACTCCTGCGTTGTCTTGGCTGTGTGCTTAGGGTTGTTGTCCTGTTGGAAGGTGAACCTTCACCCCAGTCTGAGTTTCTGAGCGCTCTGGAGCAGGTTTTCATCAAGGATCTCTCTGTACATTGCTCTGTTCATCTTTCCCTTGATCCTGACTAGTCCTCCCAGTCCCTGCCACTGAAGAACATCCCCACAGCATGCTGCTGCCACCCCCATACTTCACTGTAGGGATGGTGCCAGGTTTCCTCCAGACGTGACGCTTGGCATTCAGGCCTAAGAGTTCAATCTTGGTTTCATCAGACCAGAGAATCTTGTTTCTCATGGTCTGAGAGTCCTTTAGGTGCCTTTTGGCAAACTCCAAGCGGGCTGTCATGTGCCTTTTACTGAGCAGTGGCTTCCGTCTGGCCACTCTACTATAAAGTCCTGATTGGTGGAGTGCTGATTGGTTTTTGCTCTGACATGCACTGTCAACTGTGGGACCTTATATAGCCAGGTGTGTGCCTTTCCAAATCATGTCCAATCAATTGAATTGACCACAGGTGGACTCCAATCAAGTTGTAGAAACATCAAGGTTGATCAATGGAAACAGGATGCACCTGAGCTCAATTTCGAGTCTAATAGATTTTTTTTTTTAAATAAATGTTTGAATAAGGCTGTAACTTAACAAACATTTGGAAAAAGGGAAAGTTTCTGAATACTTTCGGAATGCACTGTATTTTTAAACTAACCCGGTCTTGGTGATACTTTCTTAGTTATCGATTTATAAGAAAAGTGTATCTTATAAATATCAGTGTCCAATTGCAAGTGGTTCTTCAAAAACCAGAGAAAATTCCTAAATATATTAAATCCATGTTTTGTATGGTGTGAGAAATGGAATGGGACTGTGTGACGTGCTGCCATCTACTTCTAAACGTCGCCGCATAGAACCGACTGGTTCCTGCAAAGATGCTGGGAAATGCTAGATGTGCGGCAGCTAAGATGGCGAGGAACCTCCTCGCGCAGTACAAAACATGGATTTTTTTTTAGCTTCTAGAATTTTCACAGTTTTTTGTAGAACCACCTGTAACTAGACACAGACATTTATAAGATACACCTTTCTTCTGAATCTAAACGAAGAACGTATCACCAAGACCAGGTTAGTTGAAAAATGTGGCAGCGTTTTCCAGAAGCTAAGCCATCACACCAGATAGATACGGCGCCATCACATATCGTGTTACAATTCAATAGCTATGCTGAAGGTAGGGCTGGCACAATTACCATATAACCGACGGTTATAGATGAAGACCTTAATGAAAATAACAGTCATAACTGTTTTTATTTAAATGACGGCCGAGCATTTGTGCAGTTGAGTCCGTTTCTGCTGTAACATGGACTCTACAACGTGATACAACTTTGTTGCTCCTTGCTGAAACCATAGAATTAGGAATTAGAATGGATCTCTATGGCTGAAACAGCAAGGTGTTCTAACAAACAGTCTTCGGTTGCCTAGGCAACGCCCCCATCCCTGCAGTCACGAGCGGAGCAGAGGAGAAAATGTGCGTCTTTTCTTTTGGCTATTCAAACGATTAATAAGGTGACCATGATCATTTGGCTGACCAATAACCGTCATCCAAAATTCCATGACAGTCATAGCCCTACCTGAAGGTATCCTATCAACCCAGAAAACCGGGGCATGTCATGTGGTTGCACTCACTGTGGGCTCTGAAGCCTCTCTGCATAGGCAGCAGGCGACCCCAGGGCTGTGGCTCAGGCTCCTCTGGTATGGAGCCAAGGTCCCTAACAGGGATGGTGTCCACTGAGCTGAGCGTGCCTGACCCAGAGGAGGAGCTGGAACCACTCTGGGACTGAGTCTGAGGCTGCGACTGTGTCTGACTGCCAGCATCTGGCTTCTCCTGGGACATGGTCAATATTTCTCCTCAGTCTGAGTCTATTCAAGTAAATAATAACACATTATTCAGGTTATCACAACATCTTTCAATTTTCCAAAACAATGTTCCCCATGTCCGTAAACTAAGCAAAGTCCTCATGTATAACTTGCGTCTGAGAATCTGTGCATTATGAATATTAATTAAAGATTGATTGATATGAATAAATGAGTCGCCTATGTATTCATAATGCACCTAGTCTGGAAAATCCATGATCTTGGCAACTCTTGTAGCTAGCCAGAAGATTCTGACCCTATGCCACTGTACTCCAAATTTGACCTTTATCCAAACTGATACATCTAGCTTTTCCAGAAAACTGTCATTTTCCTCCTCATGCCAGCTACCAGTAGCCACCTCAGCCATCTTGGAATGGCAGTGTTAGCCAATCAGCTCATTTGTTGTTCAAAGTGACATGCCATTCCATAATGGCTGCTGTGGCTACTGTTAGTTAGTTTGAGGACGATAAAGGGCAGTTTTCTGAAACTAGCAGTATTTCAATCTTCTCAAAGTATCAGTTTGGATAAAGGTAAAATTGGGAGTACATTGGCATATCCCACCCCTGCATTGAGGTACATTTTCCAACATTATCTCACACCAGCTCTATGGTGTCTTAATCTAACCATGATGTCGTTCCGACCTCAGTAGTACAGCTCAGTGTAAACAAGCATAACGGTAGGGTCGGAATCATCTGCCTACCTAGCTAGCTGTGTGTAATTCATTCAACATGCTCCATCTATTTACAAATACGTTCCTAGTTTCTTGCCAACAATGCGAAGTGTTATTGACTAACCTGTCATGCGAGTTAACTGTATTTGTATCCTCACCAAACACAAATAGCGCAAAACTAAATCAGTTTCACAAGTGCCCTAATTATTTCCGTTGTAGTTAGCTAATTTAGCTAGTCTAGATAGCACGACGGCGAAATTAAGTGGTTGCTTGCTAACCGAATAAATGTGAAGACTCGTTGCCTATAATGTGTGCAACGGATCAGAGCAATATTTGAAACATTTATGAGAATGACCATTTAATCAAATACACTTTTACACTTACCAGGATTTCGAATTAATCGCGGCACGTGTAAAATTTGCCGGGAAATCGGATTGACTCATGGGAAATGTTGTTTGTTTTCCCTAAAACGTCATCTGAATCGTAGCCAATGAGAAGTTTAGGATTGTCCACGTGATTTTCAGCAGCTAGCTTACGTTTTGTGAGTCGACGCACACAGCTGACCAACAACCACATCTGGAATATGTCATTTTGATAAATTACCTTTAATGTCGTCTACATCCAGTAATTTGCAAGTACATTATTTCGATAGTTAATAATCAATGCACAGTGCCACGCTTCTGTTTTCAGCAAGCTAGCTAGCTAGCTAGATAACGTAAACTGTGCTAACTAGCTAACTACGCGTTAGCCACTGAACCGTTCATACCATCACGGATTGACTGGTTAACCGTCAACATGGCAAAGCATAAAGCCTCTGAAAAAACAAATATAATCGAAGATGGTAAGTTGTTACTTCCATAGCTAATCCATCGGTCCAATATTCTGTTGTACATTCTAAACTAGCTATAGCTAGCTGATCCTTGTACAGTATTCAGATGGCATGATGCATGCAACCATATAGACATAGGCTACTTGATATTCACATCATTGGATGCAATAACACACATCTCATCAACCTGAGACAGGGGCACATCTGTTCAGCACCATCGAAGAGTGATCAGCAAGTAATGGGGCATTCATTTGTGTTATAACTGTCAAGTGCTAGGTTTAAAACCACTGCAGTGCTGGGGTTGGCATGGTTGGTACCAGGATCAGAGTTCTTTCTGCTGGCATGGTGCCATTAGGGAGGCACTCTTACCTCTGGTCTAAGAACTCCATGACCCAGGCACCCTGCCCTGGCACGGTGCTGTCCTTTAGTGAGACAATCTGGATTTACAAATCCCATGACACTTGTTGCTGGAGTAGGACGGCATATTGCCCCCCACACATCCACAACAAAGTCCAACTCTTGTTGTTCTCCAATAATGGCAGCCAGACAGTTTGAAAATAACTATCATCCAAATATTTACCGATATGTCTTATTTCATAGATGAAGTCAGAGAAGATGGAGAGGAGATGAATCCTTTCTCCTTCAAAGAGTTCATCCGCAGTAAAAACCAGTACCCAGATATTAAAGGGGATCCAGATGAGAAGAATTACTCACCGCGAAAGGTGCTGTACATTTTAAATTAACCAGTTTTACATTAAACCCCAGAGATGAACTGTTACAAAGCCTATGCATGAAATTAGGTGTTAGGTCCTTGGAAATAAAGTCACAGCATAATATACAAGGCCTGTAAAGATGGTCAGACTGTTTAGACTATTACTTTTGGTGTAATGTTGGTGTGAAGGTGGCTTACCTTACTGCTGCTTCTTGTGTTGTAGAAGGCATATGGGAGCACATTTCCGGCAGAGGGGGAATATACTGCCCCGAAGAGCTTCGATCAAGACTTCCAGGGTCACTTTTACATGGACCCCACACCGTTTCCTCAGTCTCTGGAAAATGAGACTAAAGAGGAGTGGGCTGGGAGTTACCAGCCATCAGCCATTGAGGAGGCACATGAGTTTGGACTGTGTGGCACTGCAGCAGCAGACAGCAGCACATACTCTGGTCAGTCCTCCCTGTGCACAGAGGAAGAAGAGGAGACTTCATCCTCCCTATGGCAGGTGGATGAAGAATTCTCACCAGAGGCCCGCCAGTCCAGGAGGGCCCCAGTGAATTATGAGGGAGATGATGAGACATCAATGGCAGAGCTCTCCTACAAGACCAAGAAGAGTAGTACCGAGAATGGCATTAGGGATCAACAAAAGGTAATTTTCCTCTCTCAAGGCTTTGCTTCCAGATGCACACGTGTGATTGGATATCACGTGGGATTAGTCACAAGTCCTTTATTTTGGGTATTTCTGTTTCTCTTTTTAAGCTGAGGGAGGAAAATGTGCTGCTCAGGAAGCACATTAAAGATCTTGTGAAGAAGTCTGAGTATGATGATCAAAGGTAGGTGGATAGAAGTGCCAGTTGATATGGTCTGCTGAGTACAGACCTACCTGGAGCATAAGAGGGATTTAAGGGATGGTGTTAAAGCCTATATTATGTTATGGCATGGCAGTAATGCTTCGAATAGTACTCTTTAGATGTACATTTAAGATGTCAACTGTACTCATATGTTAATGCTATTTAAAGAGTGTTTAACCTATGCTTATCATCATGTTTCTCTGACTGCCCCATAGAATTCGACACGTCACAGATGAGTTGCACAAGAGAAGAGTGCAGGAGGAGAGGGAGGCTCAGGCTTTAGAGACCATGGTCCACTCCGTAGAGCAGAACCTGCAGTTAATGACCGTACGCACCTGTCCCTCTTTCTCCTAGTTCATCAGTTTCTCAAAGATGAAGAATCATTTTTGTTCACTGATCATCTGAAATATGTCTCAATAAGATTACAAGCAAATGTCATGATTAGTTACTAAACAGAAGCGTGTTGAGATATGAAGTCTTTTATTTATTATTTATTCATTATTTTGACCTTTTTCTTCTTGACAGAAACGAGCAGTTAAGGCTGAAAACATTGTATCAAAACTCAAACAGGAGCTGCATCAATTACAGGTTTGACCTTGACTGGTGTTACTGTTGTTACTGGATGATGAGCTCCAGTGACATATGATTTCATGATGTGACGCTCTTTATATTACAGGGCCAAGTAGAGGGGTACCGGTATGAGAATGAGAGACTTCGAGCTGGAGAAACAGCTGCCTTAAATACAATGAAACATAATGCGCAAGTGGCCTCAGAGTACCTTAACAAAGCAGCACTCAATGCAGAGACTTCCATCAAGTGAGTTCTCTCCCATAGTGTCATCCACATACAAGTGGGAAAAAACTGTCCCTCATATTGATTGTGTGGGTATTGGGTAATGTGCAATTTCAGTTCATAGTGTTTTACATTGTGGTATTTTCTCCAAGTTCAGGCTATCGGTTTGATTCTGTCCACAGGCAATTACTTACAGGAGCAGAGACTCTTTGTCTAGTATCTCAACTGCTGCAGTCCATCGACAACATATCTGAGATTCACAATGAAGGCTGATGGAGTTTAAAGGACCATAGAGATTTCAGATCTAGTACCATCCAGCAACAAGGAACTGGAAAACAACTCACAGAGAATTTTAAGTTTTGGTGGGTGCACTGATTTGTGACCCAAAAAAATATTGCACATATTTTTTACTTGTACTTCATAAAATGTTTAGTTTAAACCACTTTAACAGGCGATTTGAAAACAATATATACTAACAACAGATGTATTTAACACTGAGGTAAATATGACTCAAATATTGTGATTAATAAACATGTGACTAGACATCCTTCAAAGTTGGTAGGTTTTTATTTTGTGAGCATTTTACACTGCATTTGTTCCACAATCTTTGCTTGAACATAGCCATTCTATGCGAGTAGAGATTCTCTGGAGATTTTCTGTAGCTAGCTACTTGTCAGTAAATTACTGGCCAAGTTTTCCTACCTCTGATCCCCCTTAGTGTATTTGAGTTGCATTTCATCCACTTTTTCTGAGACTGTCAGATAGTCTGGTTAGTAATGAGTGTATTTGTGATGAGTGACTTTGATACAGAAACCCTATGAGGTCTGGAGCCTGCTGGTTAGAGTTGAATACCCCTGCTCTATACAGTCTCTGGTATCGTGTATCATTTTTAACCACTGGAGGGAGGCAAAGAGCTATAAAAGAAACGGGCATGCGTCTCAATCCCCGATCATATATACTGTTCCAGGTTCCGTGAGTGGAATATATATATATATTTTTTTTTTACATCGAATTCATGGATTTTACATTGGAGGGTTCCAGGAGTGATTTCTTCCAATTTGCACCCCTGAATACAACTATACCAATTTGGTTAGCTTATGACTGAACTGTACATTGATATTTTAGTAGGCTTGCTATAACCCATGTTACCCAGTAAACTAGCCTACCCACGTTACCATTTATTGGATATTCGTAAAAAATAGGCCTAGTATAAGAATTTACAGATTTAGTAGCCAACTCTGGGCGGCACATGTCCTTGTTTTTTTTGCACACGTTTGTCTTAAAGCTACAATGCTTATTTCAGCCAAAGGTCACTGTAGCCCCGCCACACTTTTTGCTGTTGTGCTGTAACAGGATTTGAGAGGACCGCTGTCCTCTGCACTGTCGTGCTGAAAGTCAGATTGCGGGATTCCGATTCAGTCGCTGTCTGGTAGAATGGTGCTGAATCTTGTTTAGGCCTACTTACCACCATCTAACTTTTAAGCCTAGTCCTGTGACAAAGTCACCACACAGGTCTTCAAAATAGTGCATGAACATGGATGAAGACAGAATGTACAAAATGGTGAGCGAGGAATAGCAGAAGTCTTTAAAAAAAATAAATGACCTGGTTTAACTTTTAAGAATAGGTTGACTTGCAAGTGATGAAGCAAATATTGTCACATAGGCCTAACTGTGTAGAAGCAGTTATTGGGCCTATGCCTACAACATAGGACATATTATTACTACATTATTAGGCTATTTTAATGGGACATGGTTGCATTCATGCAAGTTCCTGTCAAGGGCACCTGTTGTCAACTATGACAATTGTAATATGACATCAATCATTATGATGACAAGGTCAATATGGGTTTATCCTTAGGCTACTTTGGTTTCTGCAGTTCAGACAGACCATCTATGCTGTGTCCACTGGTATATACAGTACATGTTAAAATGGCTTTGCACTAGGACACATTTCTGCACTTTTTGGTTTCGTTTTATAAACTTGATTTAATGTCAGACGAAAAATAAGGTAGGTCTATTTTGGCAGCTTTGAGTTAGCCTTTTCAACAAAAATGGTCTACAATGTCTACAGACATTGTAAAAAGCTTCCTTTTGTATAGGCTATGATGATTGTAACAACACATGATTAGAACGGGACTAGGAAGATAGTCACCAGGAGAAACGGATGGAGGAGGAGGAGGTAAAGGAAAAAGAGCCAGTTGCTCAGCTAAAAGAAGAAGAAGAAGTCTGGGAAGGTAAGATTGGTTCTCTGGTCATGTGGGTTCTTTGCTAGGTTTGAATCTATCTGTCTATGCATTTGCTGAATAATGGGCTGCTTTGACTTGATGTTACTCATAACAATGTGAGATCTGAAATCTGTTTTCTTGAAGGCCAAACGGAAATCAAGTGCCAAGAAGACCTCAGCCGACCATGGCACTGAAGCAGGTTAGAGATTCTTCTATATTAATACATTGTATGATTAGTGTGCCATTTCTTATGCAGATTCAGTATTTCAATCAAAACCCCTTAAAAGTCACACAATCAATTCAAAGGAAGACTAATTTGATAAAGGGCAGGTGGCTTTCATTAATGCCATTATTATCCTAGTTTAGCCAATGACCAAAATGTAATATTGATTTGGTCTACATTTGCTCCACAGAAAGTAGTAGTGAGAGTATTGAGATCATGGTTAACATTGTATAGGTATTTGGATTAGACCTCAGTCATATTGCTGTCCTTTAGGTCCCTCTGTGGTATTCTGTTCATCCAGAGCTCAGTCTTCGGATAAATACCAAAACAGAGTGACAGTAATTCAACTCTTAGAGGAGGAATTACACAAGAGTCTATCGACTTCGCCCCACAGCATTGGAAGAGGATGTCTGCTTCCCATGAGGAATCTCAGGGACAGGTATGCTCAAAATCTTTCAGTACTATGCATTCTATATACAACAACCTGGCTGAGCCGCTACAAAACAACTGAACATGTTTACTTGTGTTTTCTTTATAAGGCAGTGGAAGGTGATTCAAGAGGGCATGAGAGATCCGGTAAGTTTATCTGTTAACATTTGATCTGTGATAATTTCATAATTTAAATTCTCTGTGTATATCAATGATGTTGCTCTTGCTGCTGGTGACTCTCAGATCCACCTCTACGCAGACGACACCATTTTGTATACATCTGGCCCTTCATTGGACACTGTGCTAACAAACCTCCAAACGAGCTTCAATGCCATACACCACATACTCCTTCCATAGCCTCCAACTGCTCCTAAACGCTAGTAAAACTAAATGCATGCTCTTCAATCGAACGCTGCTTGCACCTGCCTGCCCGACTAGAATCACTACTCTCGGCGGGTCTGACTTAGAATATGTGGACAACTACAAATACCTAGGTATCTGGTTAGACCGTAAACTCTCCTTCCAGACTCACATTAAGCATCTCCAATCCAAAGTTAAATCTAGAATCGGCTTCAAAGTTCGCAACAAAGCCTCCTTCACTCATGCTGCCAAACATGCCCTCGTAAAACTGACTATCCTACCGATCCTTGACTTCAGCGATGTCATTTACAAAATAGCCTCCAACACTCTACTCAGCTAATTGGATGTAGTATATCACAGTGCCATCTGTTTTGTCACCAAAGCCCCATATACTACCCACCATTGTGACCTGTACGCTCTCGTTGGCTGGCCCTCACTACATATTTGTAGCCAAACCCACTGGCTCCAGGTCATCTACAAATCACTGCTAGGTAAATCCCCGCCTTATCTTAGGTCATTGGTCACCATAGCAACACCCACCCGTAGTATGCGCTCCAGCAGGTATATCTCACTGGTCATCCCCAAAGCCAACACCTCCTTTGGCCGCCATTCCTTCCAGTTTTCTGCTGGTAATGACTGGAACGATCTGCAAAAATCTCTGAAGCTGGAGACTCTTATCTCCCTCACTAACTTTAAGCATCAGTTGTCAGAGCAGCTTACCGATCACTGCACCTGTACACAGCCCATCTGTAATTAGCCCACCCAACTACCTCATCTCCATATTGTTATTTATTTTGCTCATTTGCACCCCAGTATCTCTATTTGCACATCTTCTTCTGCACATCTATCACTCCAGTGTTAATACTAAATTGTAATTATTTTGCACTATGGCCTATTTATTGCCTTACCTCCATAACTTACTACATTTGCACACACTGTATATAGATTTTATATTGTGTTATTGACTGTATGTTTTGTTTTATCCCATGTGTAACTCTGTCACGCCCTGGCCTTGAGAGGCCTGTTGTCTTTAGTTGGTTTGGTCAGGGCGTGAGGATCTATGTTAGAATTTCTATGTTTAGGATCTAGATGTGTATTTCTAGGTTTGGCCGGGTGTGATTCCCAATCAGTTGTCTCTGATTGGGGATCATACTTAAGTAGCCTGGTTGCCTACCTTAGTTGTGGGATCTTGTTCCGTGTTTAGCCTTGTATGTGTATAGCCTGAGGACTTCACGTTACGTTGTTTCTTGTTTTGTTTATGTTTATTGAGTTTAATAAACATGTTCGCATACCACGCTGCACCTTGGTCTGACCCGTCTCTCAACGATCGTGACAGAAGATCCCACCACAAAAGGATCAAGCAGCGTGCCCAGAAGGAGCAAACGCCTGGTACTCAACGGGAGGCTACGTTGGTAGATGTTCTCCTCGGTTGGGGAAAAATCACAGAGGAGGAGGCCGTCCGTTACGGTAAGGCAATGAAGGAGGAAGCCCGGGTAGGAGAGGATCAATGGCGACATCAACGATGCCGGCCGAAGAGGAAGCCCAAGAAGCAGCCCCAAGAAAATGTTGAGGAGGGGCTCACGGGGTGAACGACGAGGCAGCAGGAGGCCGGGAAAGGGCTGACTAGAGAGGAGGAGGACCTCTAAAGGAGGAGGATGCTATTTTAGAGGTCTTCCAAGACCTGCGGATCGAGAGAGAAGAGCCCCGACCACTGCACCCGGTGGGGTTCCAGTTGGAGTCCCTACGACCATGGGAACAGGAATGGGAACAGTTTTACACTGAGGAGTCGGAGGATGACGACGACGATGGGTTTCTGTTCCCTACCTCATGGGGGCTCCCGGAGGAGTCCTCACTGGAGGAGGTTGGGCGCGGAGAGAGAAGGACTGGAACAGTCGTACATATCCAACGCCAGTTCCCAGTCCGGCTCGGCCCGTGCCTGCTTCTCGCACCAAGGCAGTGGTGCATGTTCCCAGTCCGGCACGGCCCGTTCCAGGACAGAAACACGCACCTAAAATGGAGTCAGCAGGTACAGTCGG